AGACGGGCCTGACCCTGAGGCCAGCTGCAGTGTGTGGCTTCTTGACTGGGTAGACTTCACAACGCAAGTTCTGGTGACCATGAGGAGCATTTATTAGGGCTGGGGGACGGTGGAACAAGAAAGGGCTTAGCATAGAAGAAGCAACAGGAGAGCCTGGGCTGGGCTGCTTTGGCTCACTGGGAAGTCAGAGAAGAGGGGACCTTGGGGACCGGTTCAGAGGATCAGTCCAGGACAGGCTGCCCATGGCCTTCGAGTTAAGGAGACACGTGCTTGTGGGGGAAGAAGTGGGGAAGACGAGGGGAAAGGCGTGGGCTCTTGAGGCTTTTCTCTGTCTCGTGCAGGCGAGTCTTACGGGAAGTCTCAGGAGGGTCTCAGAATATTCATCAGCTCTCCAGGTGAGCTTTTAGGGTCCTGGCCTCCACTGGTTGGTCAGTGGCAGGGCAGGGGGTCTTTAGTCATTGCAGCTGGTTCTGTGGCCTCGCCCACCTGGTTTTGCTGCTTTTCTGGGCCTGGAGCAGAAATATAACTGAGGCCTAGATGTTATCTCCAGGGAGGTGACCACAACAGGTTGTGAAGTGCTCAGCCATTGTGTTCAGCTCTCTGCCTCAGTTTCCCTATTCCACTTGCCAAGGAATTTTCCTCGCTTCTTACTGTCCTGTCTCTGTCAGGTTATCCTGAAGTGCAGTTCACACTGATAGGACAATTGCTTCTCTCCTTTAGTAGTTCCTATTGCTTAAAAAAAATTTAACATTCTTTTATGGCTTGAAAAAGGTCTAAGACATCTGTACCATGGTGTTTCTTCCCATAAATACCTCTCAAATTTAGAACACTTGGTAATTTTGATTGCAGAGTCCCAAGTGCCAAGCAAGCATGCGAAGGCTCTGCCGACAGGCTAACACTGCTCATGGTGGGGAGCCGAGACCTGGGCGCCCGGCTGACTGACCGGTCTGGACTCACAGGGGGTTTGAGGGCTGCCAGGCAGGGGTCCATACACTGTGTGGCCCACTGCAGACTTCTGTTTCCAGTCCTGAATGTCTGAACTTTAAAAAAAAAAAATCTTCACTTGATATTTTTTGGTTTTAGAGAGAGGAAGGGAGAGTGAGAGAAAGAGAAATATCAATTGCCTCTCTTATGTACCCCGACCAGGGACGGAACCAACCTTTTGGTGTGTGGGACGACGCTCCAACTAACTGAGCCACCCAGCTAGGGCTGAACTTTTAAAAAATGAAAGTTTATTGAGACTGTAAATTAGCATAGTTTTAGAAACACAGTGACCCCATGTACCCTTTACCCAGTAGTTTTCCCAGCTGTAACATCTTGTGAACCCACACAGCACACTACAGCCAGGACACTGACATCCCCAAGGTCCTGATACAGAGTCGGGACCTCTCCCTGCGTGCTGGATGATGTACCACCCCACTCGCAAATCGTTTAATGAAGCCGTTTATATCTTCAAGTTTATATTAAAAAAGCAAGCTACCAACAGTTCCATCACAAGAGTCCCTCAGACACCATTTTATAGCCACACCAACCCCGCCCCCAACTCATTTTCAATGCTGCCACGGTCTGTTCAGGCTGCATCAGTGCCTTTTGCCCAACACGGAGCAAGGTCACACAGAGCAAGGTCTGGCCCTGGGGTGAGGGGTGGGGGCCTTGAGGGCATGCCAGGCCTCCTGCCCAGGTGCTGAGGAGACGACTGAGTCTGCATGGGGCTATCCCGCCCTTCCTGCATTTATTTTTTTTTTTACTTCAAATAATTTTTTATTTTCAATTAGTTAGTTTCAGGTGTACAACCCAGTGATCAGACATATAGCTTACTAAACGACCACCCAGATGAATCTAGTACCCATCTGACATCACAGTTCTTACAATATCAACTGCATTTCCCATACCATACCTTATATCCCTGTGACTATTCTGGAACTACCAACTTGTACTTTTTAATCCTTTCACCTTTTTCACCCATTCCCCCACCCCCCTCCCATCCAGCAACCCTCAAATTGTTCTCTGGCCCTGACCGGGTAGCTTAGTTGGTTACAGCATCATCCCTTTAAGTCAAGGTTGTGGGTTTGATCCCCAGTCAGGGCACATGCAAGAATCACTCAATAAGTGCATAAATAAGTAGAACAAATTAATGTCTCCCTCTCTTCCTCCCTAAAATAAATCTTTAGGATATTCTCAGCCCTGGCTGGTGTGGCTCAGTGGATTGAGCTTTGGCCTACGAACCAAGGGGTTGCTGGTTCGATTCCTGGTTAGGGTGTATGCCAGGTCCCCAGTGGAAGGGCGCATGGGGGGCAATCACATTCGTTGTTTCTCTCCCTACCCCTGTCTAAAAATAAAATCTTTAAAAAAAAAGAGATATTCTCTGTATCTATGAATCTGTTTCTGTTCTGCTTGTTGTCTTAGTCCCCATATTAATAGAAACCATGGCATTTCTCTTCCTCTGTCTGACTTACTTCACTCAGCACAATCCCCACATGTTACAGATGGCAAGAGAACACTCTTTTTATGGCTGAGTCATATTCCATCCATTGTACATATGCTTGTCGCTCCCTCTTGGCTATTGTAAGTAATGCTGTGATGAACATATAGATGCTTCTCTTTTTGATTCAGTATTTTGGATTTCCTGAATAACCACCCAAACCACTTCCTATTTTTTATGGCCTTGAGCTAAGAATGGATTTTACATTTCTATTTATTTAATCCTCATCCAAGGACACAATTCTTGATTTTCAGAAAGGGGAAGGGAAAGAGAAAGGGAAAGATAGACGCAAGAGAGAAATATCAGTCGGTTGCCTCTTGTACGCACCCTGACTGGGGACTGAACCCGTAACCGAGGCATGTGCCTTGACCAGGAATCAAACTCACAACCTTTTGGTTTATGGGATGATGCTCCAACTGGCCAGGGCTGAATTTTATGTTTTTCACGGGTTGAAGGGAATATGCCTTAAAAGTCCTGGCCAAGAAAGCTTAAAATGCTTAGTATCTGGACTTCTACAGAAAGTTCACCAAACCCTGGTATGACACAGTATGTATTAAAGCACCTCTGGGTGAAGGCTGGAGGGGAAGTCTCAGATTGAATTCTAAAATTGAGCCCTTATCCTAAAAATACACATATACAAAGTTGTACACCTGAGTCCATATCCACGTATTACAGCCCCGGGTTAAGACCTTTGCACTACGACACGGTATGAGCCCGTTGGGCTGCCATAAAACACCAGACTGGGCGGCTTAACCAATGGCAACGTCCCACAGTTCTGGAGGCTAGAACTCAAGGTACTGGCTGGGGTAGTTTCTTGCTTCCTTAAAGGCCCTGTGTCCTAATACAGTCACACTGGGGGGGGGGGGGGCTCAGGACTTCAACGTATTAGGGGAGGGGGACACACTATTCAGTCCATGACACCATAAATACACTGAGGACCCCGTCTCTTTGGCTCTTGAGATCATGTGTTCTGAGTGGTGTGCTCCTGAGTCCTGGGCATTGCTTTACAGGCTGAATGTCATCTTTGTTGAGTTAATGAATGTCAGTGAGATTAGACTAAAGCATAAGGACATTTATGGAGGAATATGAAGTGCTAATGTATCACAGATTAAAATACTATAGCAATTCTGAGGAGAAACTAGGAATTAGGATAATCCAGGGAAGTCTTTTTCCCTCTCCTTCTTAAATGAGAGCACTATCTACACTTGGAATGGTTTGCATGTAGGAAGGAAGGCCCTGCTGGCATCAGGGCATTTCCAGACTGAGTCACAGGCAGAGCTGGAATGGTTGGTGCAGGGTGCGGACACAGTCTGGAGTCAGAAGGAGCTCAGATCATGAGCCTTAAAATTGTAAACCATGTCAATAAGACAAACTGGGGAAATAGTTCGCAATTTTAGCAGGAAATGATACATTAGTTAATTTTATTTTGGATAGAAAAGGGATCGTAACATTTATCAGTGTGTTCATCAAGAAGTTTTGAGGAGTATTAACTACGTCAAAGAATTTTTAATTGGTGAGATTCAGGGAAATGTACTGCGAACAGTCTGTGAAAGCACCCCGCTGGGACACTGAATGGCTCTGAGGAAACCAGGCCCACGAGGGTTTCTGTTGGGGGGAGGCAGTACAGTTTACATGACAGTGCTGCACCTATCTGGCTGTGCAGGACCTTGTACCGTCCTAAACTGTGAACTAGCTCAAACCTAAATGCGTTCAGGAGCCAATTCTCTTTAATGCCCACCTGAGGAGATTTTATATATATATTTTTTAAAAGAACAAATAAGGGAGGGAGAAATATCCATTAGCTGCCTCCTGTACATGCCTGGACCAGAGCAAGGGGCCAATCCCTGAGCAGCGGGGAGAACCCTACTCTTGTCAGGCTTTCTGTGTCTAGGTCAGTGATTCGCAGCCGGTGCGCTGCAGGAACTTTTAAAACATGAGATACCTATTTAGTCAGGACACTGACGTCTCTTCCTCAGATTGGGGGGTGGGGGGGAGACACCAGCCAACATAAAAGATGTCCAATGTGAACAAATCAAAATGATACCTTTTTTGGTCAGTGGGAAAAAAAAATTTTTTTTGGTGTGCCACAGAATTTTAGTAATTAGTTTACGTGTGCCATGAGATGAAAGAGGTTGAAAATCACTGGCCTAGGTTAAGAACTTGGATCTTTCACTGTCTGAATATGCCTTTGAAAGGAAGAGTCATTAGGAATTTAACAAGTTACGGTCCTGATTCTGATTTGTCCCTTAAACAAAAGAAGGTAGCTTTATACTTGGAAGCCTGTGGTAATGCATGTAGTAGCTGGTAATAAAGGCTGATGCAATTTTGTGGTTCTAATAAGGTTTTCTTTTTTAACCAAATCAAACAATATTCTGAATAAATAACAACCACCAGAAACATAACTAGCAAAATTTGCTTTTTAAGCAGTTTTACAGTTCTGTTATTGCTTCAACAAGAGAATAAATGCCAGAATACTTTTCAAGAACTTAAATATCTTAAAACTAATCTGAGTCACTACTTTTACTCTTTATTGTCTTTATTTCCCAAGTTTGACACCCAAACTCAGCAAACATCATGGAGGTCTGTACAAACATACACATACACATATACACGCAAATTTTAAGTTTAAAGCCTCAGTTCTTTGTTAAACCCTGTGCTCAGGCTCCTGTTAAAAAGAGGTAAACTGGCGAGAAGTTAAAAATCAGGGAAAACATGAATAAATCCCAATTGACAGCTTCCTTGTTATGAATTAAAGCAGATGTTTTAAGGCAAAATCCATCACCTTCTAATAAAACTCCCACTAAGTGCTAGCCTCAAATATTTACAAGAGAATAAATACATAAAAAGCCTCCTGCACACGTCAGGAGGTTTAACGGCAAGTCAGCTGAGGGGCTGTTTCTTATTTCAGGTAGCTCTCCATTCAGGGACAGTTACTATTTCACTGATTAAAATTTCAGGTGTTAAAAAAACTAACTTCAAGCAGGGTCATCATCATACTCTGCAGCTAAATTCTTCAAGTACTCGTCTCTACATCATTACACGAATCCGTCACAGTAAGAGGCTTTTAATGTGAGAACGTTCACCGTCTGGTAACTCAGGAGGAGACGCCATCAGTGTGCTCTAGGCCGTTTGGTATTACTTTTCTCTGCAGGCGCTTTTCTCTTTTGTGACAGTCCAGACCCGGGCTCCTTATGATTCTGAAGAAGTGAAACAGCTTCTGGCAGACAGTAGTTTTCTACTCGAGGAGGGGTTTCCTATGAAAGAGGGAAAAAACCTTCCATTATTCATTTTTTCAGATTTCAAACTGTTCAATGATCAGCTAATAGATTTCTTTACTCTGCTTTTTGACCACAGGAATCGTAAAAGGAAAATGTAAATTCATTCCTCGGTCCCTGCAAAGAAAACACCTGTCTTTTAAGGCATGCCTTTATCACCTGTCACACTCAGTGACCAGGCCCTGGTGACAGTCTCCACTTCTATCAGAAAAAGGAGCTCAGGCAGACCAGGACTGGCTCAGACCTTAACAATGGTTTTATCTGTAAAATATGGATTAAATAAAGAATATAGAAAACATGGAAAAATACAGTTAATAGTTATCAAGTGTGAGACAGTATATGCTTATTCAATTTTTGAAAAGAACTTTTTACTGAATTTTTACTTGATCTTTAAACATGTGAGGTGTTTTTCTCCATTCACAGATAAAATGAAAAGGTTAACTGACACAATGTTACATAACTACCCAGGTGGCAAAGCCAAAATTCACACACTTCTCTATTCAACTCGAAAGCCCGAACCTTTCCCCCAGAACCACACTCCCACCACATGGAGAACAGACGGCTCGACAGCTCAGCTCGCCGCATTCCTCCAGACCCCTGCGCTGACGGGTGTTCTAACCCTGAGCAGGGAGCGATCACTCCTGGGGTCGAGGAGGAAGCTGCGACTGGGGAGGCACCGCAGGAAATGCCTATGGGTGTCGCATGCTTCTGTTTCTTAACCTGGGCACCTACAAGACATTTTGCTATTCTTTAACCAGTACATGTTTTATACACTCTTACACATAAAAAAAAAAGTGAAATGAGAATGCGTGTACAAAACCCTGTGCCCAGCACAACACAGGCGATTACCAATGACCAGTTCTTACCTTGGACAGCAGCTGTACACCTGAGATGGTCAGGACTGGAGGGGGGAGACTCAGTGCGTCCCACTGCACTATGACAGAGCCTTCACGTTTATGTTGCAGGCATTCTTTCCTCTAAACCCAGAGCAACTCCCAAATACAAGCAGCAGAAACTGCGCAGGCAGGCTGAGCTCTGGCTTCTCTGTATTTCTGCCATTCTGTTCAAAAGCTTTTACAGTAAAGACACTCATGATCACGTGTCATACTCTGCTTATTCCTGATGGCACGCCAGGCACTCTGGAGTCAGGAGGACCTCTCCTTGCCCGTTCAAATCGTACATGGGCCACTCAGTACACGCGTGTGGTGAGTCTTCCACATAGCAAATGCTTGATTTACCGTGGTGTCTACCACCTGTGTTTACTATGTATCAATGCAAAAGGTCAAAACTAAAGAAGAACCCTGGGTAAATGGTTCTCCTTGGACTCTTAGAATCTACTTCTGCTTTCTTCATATTCCACCATCTAAAAGAGGCACCTAGATTTTTATACCTAGCTCATATTTAAATGTTTACAAGCTACATGTTCACATAGTGTTCATTATTATAAAAAAAGGAACTGAAAGGGGTTACCGAGTGTCACTGGAGACCAACACTGTGTTAGTAACCAGCCGAGGGTTTTGGTGTGCGGTCACTTCTCTATGCACGCCAGCAGATCTTTGGCAATGAGGAAGTCAAGGACAGAAGCATACAAACCTGCGTAAGATAATCAGCAATGTATTCTGTTTTCAAGCAGTACACATTCTGGGCAATAGCTTCTGCTATATTAACTCCTGAGTCATCGGGTTTCAGTTTATTTCCGTCAGAAAAGAGGTGTGTGGCTTCTTTAAATAAAGGCACAGAATGACCAGGTAACACCTAATAAAAAAGCAAGAAGCATCACTGTGTATTCGTATCTCAAAGTAATTCCACTGTACAATCTGTAGATAAGGATTACTATCTCACAAAGTACACAAGATCAGAACCTGATTGCAGCAACCTTGATCAGAGAATAATTCACGTAAAAAACTCAGTAAGTAGATGCAACACAAACCTTAGCTCCTCCGGACTGAAGCAGACGTTTGAATCCTGCTTCTCGGGACTGATTAGCAACATGTAGAATAACCTTCCACCCGCTAAATGCCCCCTAAAAATAAAGAAAATAATTGTGGTGAAATTATTTTGTGGGAGGTAACATAAATGACAGAACGATACAGATAACATTTTATCTGTAAGCGTAGCTCCACACCAGTGAATAATTCTATGACCTTCACTCCTGCCATAGCGGCAGACTCTCTGGTCAGGGTCCTTGGATGCGCACAGCCTGTCTGGCACACCGTACGTAACCCATAAATACTCAAAGAGTAGAGGAAAATAATTTAGGCAAATTAAACAAAAGTCAGGTTGCTTTGTTTTAGTCATTTCTAGTATTTTTTCTTACAATTAATCAAGGGTAGAGCCTAAAGCACAGCTTCTTAGATTAGATGAAGTCTCCTTTGTATTTCTCTTGAACATATCTGAAGTTGAAACATACTGGGGAACTGCTCTAAAGGAAAGGGAGTGAAGGCCAACGAAGACGCAGAACACAACCAAGATCGCTGGACGTGGGGTTTTGTTACCTTTTTGTGAGCCACATGGACCTGTTTTCTGATTTTTTTAAAAAAAGATAGCTTTGTTGTGTGATTTCTATACCATATGAACAGGTTGTAAATGTTCAAAATAAAATAAGGATTACACAGGAAATAATTTTATTGAAATTTATAAAATTATTTAAAACACTGTGACATAATAGATGTGCTTGAAAACTAGCAGTGAGTCAAATAACTACTATAATTTTAAAGTAGTAAACATAAACACCTCAAGATACAATTATAATGCAAAGCAAAAATATCTTTTTCTCTTGGGGCAAAGTCACAGGTACTATTAATAGTGTTGTGATCTGTTGACTAGACTTATAATGGAAAGAAAAGCTAACTTTTAATAGATGAGGAAAAAATATATCCTTATTTTTATTAATCTAAAGTGTGAAGATTAAACTCAGGAAGGGTATAAACTTCTTTGTGTGACTCTATGGGCCCCAAGTTAAGAACTCCTGAAGTTAGACACTGAAAGGATTCTTTGGAAGACATACACTATGGGTCACATTTTACATATAAACTATTTTTAAAAGAATTATTAACACTGCCCAGACTAGTGTGGCTTGGTTGGGAGTTGTCCCACAAAGCAAAAGGTTGCCAGTGTGGTCCCTGGTCAGAAGGCACGCTAGAGGCAACCAATTGATGTTTCTATTCCTTTCTCCCTCCATTCCCCTTTAAAAATAAATTTTAAAAAATTATCAACCTTTATATATATCTTACTTTCAATCACAATTAGAAAAATTAGGGATTAACATTAAGCTCAATTTAGAATGCTCAATCAAGTGTTAAAATACAAATAGAATTATTTTGTCAAGCACATTCGCTTCATTAAAAAAACCACCTTAATCTGAAAGAGTCATAACATCACATGCCCTTTATACCACCTACACAGTTACACTTTCATACCTCAGCAACGCCTGACTCCTGTGTGTGCTGGATTCTCTTCCTCCATCTCATTGCTGCAAGGGCTAGTTGTCGCTGCTGCACGCTGATTCCAGTCAACGCGTCCAGGATGGAACTGCTTCCCCATTCGTAGTCTTCTTCCTAGAGAATCAATCCCACAAACTGCTTAGTTCCCACAACAGTCCTCAAGGAGTTCATGGTCTATATGCTCAATTGTCATAAATTGCATAAGAAAGCACCACTTTATGAACATGGAGGAAATGTAGATTAATTTGGCTTTATAGGAGAGCGAAGTATATGGCTTTTAATTAGAAATCAAAAATATACTGGATACATTTCTAAGAAACACATGTAACCACAACAACTGGCAATGTTTAGATTGCTGTGCTTTCCCCACTGTAAGAAGAACTTCAGAGCAGGACATGGTCTCAGAGGAGGTATGCACTAACAGCCTGAGTACCTGTCCATAGAAGAGGTCCCTAAGGCCTCTTGACTAAAATCTTCAAAAACTACATTATAGATATAACCGTGAAGGTCAGTTAGGAACCAAAATATTTCAAATAATTAGTTTAATATTTAATTAGCTAATAGTAAAGAAAAAAAGCTTACAGTGAGCTCTTAATATTTGCTGATGTTATTTCCATTAAAAAACATTCAAATCAAAATGACATAACTAGGAATCTGGGTAATACCTAATTTTTTTTGTGCTTTAATTGTTAACATGGACCTTACAAAACTGGTATACTCTAATTGGTCATATTTGTTAATGTCAATTACACAGATGGTCTGTGTATGTGCTGGAATCAATCATTAAGATGTTCACTTTTAGAGAAAAGTGACCCTTTACGTAAATTTGAACGCGCACCGGCACGAAGCGCCCAGCAGTCCTGCATGCTTCCAGGTAGGAGCGGTGAAGCACCCACTTCCCCGCCGCCAGGGAGGCCAGATACTTCTCGTTGCGCAGCGGGTGCCCCACAACGATGTGTGTGCAGCTGGGGTCGAAGGCCTGCTTCTCTATTACCGAGCCACCTGGAGCGAGAAAAGTTGGGAATTTCCTCATTCAGCCACAACGCCATTGTCAGATCTAAAACAACGAACAAAAATTCTTTGCTATTTCAATACAAAATCCTTGTTCAAATTTTCCTGCTGGTACTGGGGTCTGATACAATTAAGGTTTAAAAAAAGAAGAAGAATACAAACAAGGGTCACATATGGCAGCCGGCGGTTCTATTTCTTGGGTTTCTACTACCCTCAGCGATTTTAAGTACTAAATAGAGATAAGCAGAGAGCTGGAAGTCAAAACAGGTCATCTACAGACTAAAAGCAGAAAAAACTTTTTGTGAGGGGACATAAGGTCAGTCAACCAACAGAGAAGCTTGAGAGGAAACACACACATGCCAGGTAGAGATACAGCAGCAGGCAGGAGCTGAAATCCCTCACACACAAATGTACGAAGCCTGACTTTGAGGAAAGAAATAAGACACAGTATATAAGCTTATGCAAAGCATGGTGTTGATTTATACTTTAGAGTTAGACTACAGGTTAGGTGGAGATGCATCAAGGACTTTCTAAGATTTTAAACAGAACATTCGAACTCATGGCTTTAGAGATGACTAACAAGAGCAGCAATGCTTTTTGAGCACTTACTATAGGCCAGGAACTGTTGAAAGTACTCAAGATTATTAACTCACTTCATCCTCACAACTTGATGAAGTTACTATTATTATCTGCAATTTACATGTGGGGACACAGGTAGAGTAACTCACCCAGGATCACTGAGGTAACAAAAGAACAATGACGTTAAAGTTCCATATTAGTATCAGTATCTCATTCTATATTATTGTCTATATCAAATTTACTGTGACCCAGACAACATAAAAGGTTGGTTTATGTATATCGGTTCACCACAGTGGCTTCACTCATGAAGTGAAGGGCCCCTTTACATTCTGCATCAGGAACCCTGTGGTCACAGGCTCCAATTCCAGCACAGTCTACACTCAGGTACCCCTGTTCTGTGTCTTCTTCCAGACAATTTTCTGCCAACTGCTATTACTCTCACCCAGAGTTTGGAGAGATGTCTCTATCCACCTACAGAGACAGACACTTGAGAGTTCCATTTTGGTGAGCTCTGGGTGAAGCTCAGTAATCCTGATTTATAATTCCATCTAACTTAACAGGCAACTGGGGAACAAAATGTTCCAGTTGAACAGTTCCCCAGAAACATAGTTTCTCAAGTGTACAACTATATTTGACAGAAATATTTTTTTTAATATATTTTTTTTGTTTTGTTTTTAGAGAGAGGGGAAGGAAGGGGGAAAGAGAGTGAGAGAAACATCAATTGGTTGCCTCTCATCAGCAACCAATCAGGGACCTGGCCCACAACCCAGGCATGTGCCCCTGACCGGGAATCAAACCAGCGACTTTCCAGTCTGTGGGATGATACCCAACTCACTGAGCCACACCAGTCAGGGCTGACAGAAATCTTTAAAAAGCATATATCATGGCCCACCACCACATCCTTAAAAGGACAGACAGCAGTAAATATGTGGCTGTAGAGCGCCAGCTTACCTTTCTGGTGTGCTGTTGCTATGAGTGATGTCACACTAAGGGCCTGACAACTAGCACAGCAAGAATAATGCCACGTAACTTCACCTTCATTAAGAAAGTGGTTTTACACACATTGTAAATCTATAACTTCACTGATTTGGTCCAAGGCTTCATCAATGAACAAATAAATGCTCAAAGCAGCACAAAAGATTCTTAAACCTTAATGGCTGGTTTCAATTCAAATCTTTAAATCCTATGACCCAGTGACTTTAGATTTAGATTAGAGCTTTATAAAATAAAAGTTCTAATGCTGACTCTATGTCGAGTCTCAGACAAATTAACCGTTTCTTGTTTCTCAATTTCTGTACCTTAAAAAATGACACCAATATCAGCCATATTTGCTTTCTAAATAAGGTTACTGTATGGAACATTTTTGACTTAAGTAAAATACTTATACCTAGTTTCTCAATCAGATGACAATAATCAATACGTTCTTGAGGATTCAGAGATGACAACTGAAATGTGTACTGTTTTTTTAAGTCTTCATGAGTCTCCTCTATTATAATCTGAAATGCAAGAGTTTCATTTTAGAAAAAGGAACATTAAAAAAGTTATCAGGTATATAGTTCTTTTACAATGACATTTTATTTAGTCTTCAAATAAAGTTATCAAATATGAAAACAATACAATGCAAAGAAATGAAGTTTTCAATACCCGACGAACCCTTGACAAGCCCGTGATATTGATGCCCACAGATTTTGAATGCAACCTCACTGCAACATGCAAAAGCCGCATCACTGTACTAAAGATGAACAAACCTTTTCTCTAGGATGTGGAGCCACGGGTGGGTTGGCCAGGGGGAAGGCGATACTGGGGGCCTGAGGTGTAGGGATCAGGTGGCTGTCTTTTAATGGAGTTTCCAGTTCTTCAGAGACTGGGTGTTTTGGAACTTCAGTCGCACACACGTTTCCAGGATCATGGACAGCTGAGGGCAATAAAATGTTGCAGTGTGATATTATCCAAACATGACTAAGAATGTATTCTGGGAAATAGTCTCATACGTCTTAGCCAAGATGAAATTAAATGAATTCTGGAATGTAAAAAGGACATGCAGAAGAACTGGCCTATTTCTAGAGCTTGTAAATAAAGGCAATTAATTAGTACTAAAAGAGCAAAGGGTGTTTTCTGTGGGCTTCTCCCAACCATTTCTTTTTTTTTTTAACTACCAAGCTCTCATTAGCAAAAAGTATCCAAAATTTATAAAATGAAAGCCAGGCTGCATTTGGAGAAAATCAGAAGCAGAGCACAATCTATACATCTAGTGAGAGAAATAATGTATTGATGTGAGGCGGGGGGATGACCAAGGATGAGAGACAGGAAACGTTTTGTTTTTAAGGAAAAGCCCAAGGAAGAAAATAATAGGGGAATTCAGAAACAAACTCATACAAATCCAAAGAACAAGAGTAGATATGTGCTGAGTAGAATTCAGAAGAGGACTTAAATGAAAATAAGATGATTGAGAGAAAAAACAAGTGCAAAAAGGACCAAAAGGAGAGAAAGAATAACAATGAAAATCATGTCTGGGAAATAATGCCCAAGACTAAATTTCCAAACTTAAAAACCAAAATATATTTTTCAATTTACTGATAAACTAATTAACTCAACTTTATTATTTTTCTGACTCTTAAGTTTAAACCAAAATCAGAAATATCTAGTAAGTTTTTCATTTGCATGTACAATTTAGAAACCCACAATGTGCTTATCTGTTAATTATCTTAACAAGACATGTACTTAATACAAAGAAGTAAATAGATTTCCTTCTCATTACCGTGTTCAACAATTTTTAAATCATGTAAAGGGTCCTGGAAAGGAGAATCCTCCAATTTTTTCATGTCAACCTGCGGTTCAGAGTACTGTGTGGGACAGCTAGGCCACTGCAAATTGCTGGCAAGCCTTGCCCTCTCCTCTCTGGCGGTAGGGTCATCCCAAATGATCTGTTCATTCTGGGAGGGCTCTGTGTTGACATCAAGAGCTGTCTGACGAGACTGCCTAAGGAATAAAAGTGACAGACAGACAGTCATAACAAAACCCACATTTATAAGTTCCTGAAGTTAGACTGTACATGTGTGGTTCACCTTTATATGCCCACCTAGTATATAGTAAGCACTTAAAGCTACCAAATAAACTAACTTTGGAAAATTTTATCTTTTTAAAATGTTTCTCCCTTGGCCCTGGAAGGGGAGCTCAGCTGCTTAGTGTTGTTCTGATGTGCCAAAGTTGTGGGGTCCGGCCCCAGTCAGGGCACAAACAAGAAGCAACCACTGAATGCATCAAAAAATGAAATGAATTGATCTATCAATCAATAAATTAAAAAACTAAAAAAAGCTTCTCCCAGAAACTAATCTGTTTTACTGAGAAAAATAAAACACATATTTTGACTGAATGTCCATATATTTAAAACTTCAAAGAGGAAAAAAAAAGTTCATTGTCAAAAATTTTAATTTCACTGTGGCAGATGATCAAAACTGTCTGACACAATTTGAGCTTGCTACAGCAACAGAGTCTAACCTATTCCGGCGCTCTCCTCCATGTGACAAGCCATTATACAGTCTTAGTGTAAAAGAAGAAAAAATATTTTTAATTTCAAATGACTGCTGCATTTAAAAATGGGAGTTTTCATACTTAGATACAGGGTTAGGAAAACATGGTAATGTTTAGGAAAATGGTTACTTTGCTTACTGGTAGATGTATTTTTATTACTTGAAACAATACAATTACATGGGAAATATATTATAAATACTGCCTCAAAAAGAAGGGTCTTTCAGCTCTTGGTGACCAAACCTCTGCGAGTCTCAAGTAGACAGAGCAGCGTGAACTAAGGTAAAGCACATTTTATAGTGTAATTGTAAGAATTCCACTGGAGAGTAAACAGAATTCTAACTATTTTCTTTCAAGATATATAGCAAATCTTTCAACATGTATACACATAAATACACATGCATGTTATGTATATATATAAAATTCAATCATATAGGTATACACACACATAAAACAGTAAGAATAATTTACTAAAACGGATATACCCCATGGAGTTCACTTGACTCAAAAAGAAGGCAGATAGCCTTTTATTCTCAGAGTATTTAAGTTGGCGCAAGATTTAGCTTCTCCATAATAAAACATGACCTGAAGCATATTAACAAAAAGGCACTGTTACTCAGTACTCACATAAAAAAATTAGCCTCATGAAATATACAATTATCATAAGATAAATGCATAGCTTAATTAATTTAAGATATTAAGTCCCATAATACTAATCATATAATTAGAGAGTTTCCTATTAGGAAAAAGATGAAGTAATGAAACTAAACTTAATGTCACATCACACTAAGATCTGTAACCACATTTCCTAGAAGCTAGATTTATAGATACAAAATACATGTAGTTCCAGTAAGAAATAACTGTTTACATCACACCGCACTGTGAAGCACTGCTTGGTAAGGAACAAAACCCCTGTGTCTGTCTCCTGCCCCCAGTTAAGAATTCCAGAACTGCGTGGAACAAGGGAGGGAAGACAGAAAATCAAGGGAGGTAATGTTTGAACATAATATACAGGGGTGGGCAAAAGTAGGTTTACAGTCATTCATATGGAAAATAATAAATAGTAATACAAGAATAAACTGTGTTTCACATACTCACAACTGTAAACCTACTTTTGCCAACCCTGTATATAGTTTGGGCTAAATAAGGCCCAGTAGTATAACCCTTTCAGTGGTCGTGGTATTCTAAATTTGTTTTACTAGTTAAAAACAAAAGCAAAATTAGGCTTTAACTCATGGAACTGAGTCAGTAGGTACCCACACAAGGAGCTACCTTTCTCTTAAATCATCTAGTCACTCCTTTCTGCCACCACGAGGAGTGACAGGCACGAACCTCAGGGCCTCCAGGACTCTGCTGCGTCCCGTGCGGGCGGAGCGAGCACTCTCAGGGGTCGAAGAGGTGCTGTTACAGCCATTTCTGCCAAAGGAAGTCCTCGGCCCTTGGGGTTTCACCACTGATGTTGCAGACATGATCTCCTGCAGCTGCTTTTGGAAATTCTCTCTCATCTCCAAGGTCTGTGTCAGAGCTTGAAACACACACAAACACACCAATAAAGGTAAATTTCTTTTTATAATAAAAGCACATCTTATCACATTAACTATTTTGTCTAGATTAACAAATTTATTAACTGGACATTTATGGAATACTTACAGACTACAGGGATGCACTAAGACCATGAATACTGCAGAACACAAAGGCAGCCCTTACCACGAGGGCTGTACATGAACGAGTCAGGAGGCCCTTCGAAGACACTGTACTGGGACCTGCAAAGTGGTATCTCTTTTGTAGGATCCCTGACTGCTTCTTATACTCTCATGTTATATACTACGATCATTCATGTATGTGATTTTCCCTATGATCCATGAAAACACACACAAGTGATTTATCTTTGGGTTCCTCGCAGCCTATTTTTGCAATGAACAGAGTGGGAGTAACTAAATAGGTAAGTCACAGGGAAAGATCTGGTAGGGCAAGATGAGTATGGAAAATAGAAAACAATGAATCCATTAAAAAGAAGACACCTATAGAGATAAAAGATTGTTCATTGCAGCACACTGTGTAATAGCAAGAAATCAGAAATAACTACATGACCAACAAGGGAATGGCTGAGTAAAGTGGGTGATTTATACAATGAGTATTATAGTTGCCAAAAAAAGAAAAAGACTGAAGAAGCTCCCTCCTTATGTACCAATAGGAAACACTCCACAAACTGAACTATTAAAAAGATCAAGATCAAAGTATAAAACAAAATATATAGTAGTCCACCATTTATGGGTTTTTTTTTTTCCAAAGTAGGGAGGGAGGAAATTCCATACCGTTTTCCACAGTGGCTGCACCAGTCTGCATTCCCACGAACAGTGCACTAGGGTTACCTTTTCTCCACAACCTCTCCAACACTTCTTGTTTGTTGCTTTGTTTATGATGCCCATTCTGACCGGTGTGCAGTGGTATCTCACTGTGGTTTTAATTTGCATCTCTCTGATGGCTAGTGATGCACAGCATCCTTTCATATGACTCTGGGGCCCTCTGTATGTCCTCCTTGGAGAAGTGTCTGTTCAGATCCTTTGCCCGTTTTTTAATTGGACTGTTTGTCTTCCTCAAATGGAGTCGTGTGAGCTCTCTGCATATTTTTGAGATCCAACCCTTGCCCAAGATATCATTGGCAAATATATTTTCCCATATGGTTGGTTCTCTTTTCATTTTGCTGATATTTTCTTTAGCTGTGCAGACGCTTTTTATTTTGACAAAATCCCATTTGTTTATTCTTTTCTTTATGCTCCTTGCTCTAGGGGACATATCAATGAATAGTGCTACATGGGATATCTGAGATTTTCCTGCCTATGTTCTCTAGGACTTTCATAGTGTCATGACTTATGTTTAAGTCTTTTACCCATCTTGAGTTTGGCCCGGTAATTGCACTGCTGGGATTGTACCCTAAGAATCCTGAAACACCAATCCAAAAGAACTTATGTACCCCAACGTTCATAGCAGCACAATTTACAATAGCCAAGTGCTGGAAGCGACCTATGTGTCCATCAGTAAATGAGAGGATCAAAAAACTGTGGTACATTTACACAATGGAACACTACGCAGCAGAAAGAAGAAAGAACAACTACCCTTTGCAACAGCATGATGCTAAGTGAAATAAGCCAGGCAGTGAAAGACAAATACCATATGATCTCACCTATAAATGGAACCTAATCAACAAAATAAACAAGCAAGCAAAACAGAACCAGAGACATGTAAATAAAGAACAAACTGACAGTTGACCAGAGGGGAGGGGGCGGGAGGGGTAACGGGGAAAGGGTCATCAAGGAACATGTAAAAAGAACCCATGCACAAAGCCAAAGGGAGGTAGGATTGAGGGTGGGAGGTGACAAGGAGAGTGGTAGGGGGAAAATGGAGACAAGTGTAGTTGAACAAAACTGAAAGAAGTTGTGTGTTTTGTTTTGTTTTTTTTTAATTTAAAAAGAACTGCAGTTATACCTAAAGTTATGGTTAAATTGGCTTGAAGTTAATATTGGGAAGAATATCATGAGAGAAACAAGTCGAGTATGGAAAATTGTTCACGTTTGCTCTAATGTTTTTCTACACTTGTGTGTTAAAGTTGTTAGTTATAGTGAAGCATAGAAATTAATGTCTCTTGGGAAAGTAAGATAGGTTTAACTGTGAGTCTCTTAAACATGGTGTTGGAAACTTAGGTAAACTCTGTTTTTCAGGGAGAACAAGTAAGTTACAAAAAGTTCTCTATAGGGTGGAAATGGCATGGGAAAAATTGTTATTTCTGTAAAAGAAGCCTTTTGTCCACTGTATTCAGCAACGTATTGTTTCACACAGATAAACACACTGGAACAAAGAAATGTGAATGCACTGTATTAAATCATATAAAATCAAGAAGTTACTTAAGTTTACGAGGAAAATACATCCAGAAGATGTATTCACTACTAATCACTCTCAGCCTGCTTTTCATCCTCTGAAAGCTACAGTGCAGTGTTTGGACATGCTTAAGTTTCATTCATACCAACTGGGAACGCTTATCAGCTGAGACAACAATTCCTAAATACAAACTTCCCTCTTTATGTAATAAATTATTTTACATTTACAAATGATCAAACATGTTCTTTGGAAGATATTTAATAGTGTCAAAGGCAAAATACAATAAAAAAAGTCAGGAAGGAGAGAACATTTATGATCATATACACATAAAATAGTCCTAGGAGGCTACACAAACTAGTAACTTTGTAAGGTAGGAGAAACCCTTCATACCTCCTTCTGTACCTTTAAAACCATGTGACTATGTTAAACTACATTGTACATATATTAAAACTTACTGATATCACTTAAAAAACAGAACCAAAGAAAAAAGTTAAAAATCACCAGCTCCACCTACCTTTAATAAGATAGGGCTATAATACACTAACTCTGCAAAATACCTAGTTTTACAAATTTCACACTTAAAGCTTTGCAAATTATTACTTAGTGACTGACATGGAACAACCTCAACCAACCCCCAAATATCTGCTTTACTTCCATTTAGCACAATAGAAAATAACTTATTTTTCCACTGGATGTAAAGGGATCATATTAATAAAATGTTTTTTTGTAATTTAAAATATTTTACCTCCTTTAGAGTCATTTCTTCCATTTTCATTTGATGTTGCTCCTTCTTTGTTACTGGTTGTCATATTATCTATATCATTTTCTTCCACAAGCAAATGATCTGTCTGTGGAAGGAAAAAAATTGCAATTGCTCAACCCAAGCCATCATATAAAGTTTCACAGTAGTATATGACTATACACTCGGCTCCAGGAGGGGAAAATGTACCACCCATGTTATCTACCTCATCATCCTTTGCTGTCCCGTCAGCTGAGGGCAGTCGGCTATTACGGAGTCTGTCATCTTGCACGGCGCTGATATCCAAGCTCATTTTGGGGTTAAAAGTATGTGGATACAGAGACTCAGGAAGGTGTTTATACTCTTGGGCACACTGCAACACAATGGTGTGCTTTAAAACAGGTCTCAGAAAATCTTAGAGAATAAATGATGCTAGCTTGCATACGGGTAACCAATATGTTAGGTAATAAGATAAAAAAGTTTTGCAAAATAAAAGTTTTTAAAAGTAGTTTACACTAAAAAAGTCTGCTATATAAAAGACAAACTGCCCTCATTTTTAAAAAATTGTTTTTCAATTACAGTTTACATTCAACATTATCCCCACTTAAAAATAAAATGTTTATTGATTTGAGAGAGAAAGGAAGAGAAAAAATTAGAAAACACTGATATGAGAGAGAAACATCAGTTGGTTGCATCCTATCTGCGCTGCAACTAGCAATCAAACCCACCACCTAGGATGTGCCCTGAGCAGGAATCGAACCCCCAACCTTTTGGTGTATGGGATAATGCTCCAACCAATTGAACCACACCAGCTAGGGCTGTCCTCACTTGTGAAGTCCACTAAAGTATAAAAATCTAATTCTATCTCCATGTTTTTGCCAAGGTATAAACCAAATTCCAGGGAATACCCAGAAAGAGAAAACAGTTCTAAATAGTATTGGTAAACATACATTAATTAATTCTCCTCAAAATTATTATAAAATTTTCTTTCACATCATTTCTAGTTAGTGAACAGAATCAGAGAATCACAGAGTACCCATTAAAGACTTCAGTATTTAAGGAATAAAGATCTTAAGTTTACGGCGGCAAAGAAATGAAATGCGCTCTGTTAAATAACTAAAGTTATCAAACTTCTTTACATACACTGAAATTGGTTCATATCCTGACACAATGTTCGTATACATTTTCATTTAACAGACAGGGAGGATAAACAGTACTGCTTACTTCTAAAAGCCAGTGCTCTGAAACAATGTGTATTCCTCTTTCTTTCACAGATTTATACTCGCGGTTAGTGTCGTTCTGTCGCCCTTGATAGATGAAATGAGTCACTGTTTCATCAAAACTCCACCTGAAACAACCAAGTATAAAAACCAAATAACTAAGAGAAATGTCTATATTAGTTTATAATCATTATTCTCTATGAATAGAATATTCTGGCTTTCACAAAACCTCTAAGAACTGGCATAAGCAAGATTCTTAAATGATAGTCTCCACTTTTTTTTTGTCAAATTTTATACACATATTTCTAGGAATATATATATGTGCAGAGAGATATTTGGAAGGATATATTTTAAAACATTACTTTCTCCTTTATACTTTTCTGAACTGTTTCAACTTCCTTATAATGAATATAACTTTATAGTAATAATACAGGTCTTTCCAGATCAAAGCATTCACTGTCTTTCAGTTGTTGGCAGTCACCATTCACTGTACACTTGCTCTACATCCCATAACAGACCATGTACTTGACACATCATTACCCCCCCAACTCCTCGCAACAACCCTCAAACACTGGCATCATTACATCCATTTTATAGGTAAGAAATCGGAAGGACAGGATTAAGTAGTATGTTCAAGGACATTCAGTGCATAAGTGGTAGGGCCAGGTTTGACTTCAAAACTCACACTCTTAACTATTTTATTATGCTATGATCTCCTGATTCTTCTATATAATATTCTCCTGACCTAGGAAAATAATCTAAAAATATAAAATATGCCATCTTGTAAAATATAAAGTAAAGACCAAAGGGGAAGTAAAAACTGTATTTCTAGCCCTGGCTGGTGTGGCTCAGTGGATTGAGAGCGGGCCTGTGAACCAAAGGGTTGCTGGTTTGATTCCCAGTCAGGGCACATGACTGGGTTGCGGGTCAGGTACCTAACTGGGGGCATGTGGAAGGCAACCACACGTTGATGTTTTTTTCCTCTTTCTTCCTTCTCCTCTCTCTCAAATTAAATAAGTAAAATCTTTAAAGAAAATGTATTTCTAAATATTATGATCATAATCACTAAAATAAAGTTTCTTTTTGTGGACACTTACCACACTTTCCACTTCCTAAATAAGAAATGTCTCTGAACTTTAAAAATAGCCAAATTAGGTTCCAGCCAAGATGGAGGCACAGGTAGAAACCCTTCGCTTCCTCACACAACCAAAAGGTATATACCAACCAATCTAAAATCAATAAACAACCAGAAGTGCCAGAAACTCAAACTGCATGGAACTCCAACAACTAAGGAATTAAACAGTCAACCAGACCAATTAGACTAACCAGACCAGTAGGATGGTCGGATGGAGAGAACCCGAGGTGAGGTGGAGGCCGGAGATCGCCAGGTGGGGCTGGCTGAATGGGAGACTGAGACTCAGCTGACAGTGGACTACGGCGTGGGTTGTGATGGTGGGAGAAACTCACATGACAGTTCATTGGAAAGTGGGGCTAAAGCCCAGCAGGCAACCCTTGCACTGTTCCCTCTCTGGCCCCTCCCCCACAAGAAGCAGCACAACACAGCAAAGAGGGTTCCCCACCCCCTTACAACTTAACAGGGGCCCCAAACAAAGAAATATGGCCCAAATGAAAGAACAGAGCAAAACTACAGAAAGAGCTAAGTGATGAGGAGACAGTCAACCCATCTGCTAGAGAGTTCAAAGCCTTGATAATCAAAATGCTCACAGAAATTATTAAACTTCGTTGTAAAATCAATGAGCAAATGAAAGATACCCAAAGTGAAAAAAAGCAAAATATTCAGGAAACCAACAGTGACAAGAAGGAAACCAGGACTCAAAGCAACAATCTGGAACAAAAGGAAGAAATAAACATCCAACTGGAATGGAATGAAGAAAGAAGGATTCAAAAAAATGAAGAGAAGCTTAGGAACCTCTGGAACAACTTTAAACGTTCAAATATCCGAATTATAGAAGTGACAGAACGAGAAGAAGAGGAGCAAGAAATTGAAGACTTATTTGAACAAATAATGAAGGAAAACCTCCCCAATCTGTTCGAAGGAAAGAGGACTTCCAGGAAGTCCAGGGAGCCCCGAGAGTCCCAAAGAAGTTGGATCTAAAGAAGAACACACCAAGGCACAGCATCATTAAGTTACCCAAGGTTAAAGATAAGAAGAGAATCTTAAAAGCAGCAAGAGAAAAGCAGAGACTTACCTACAAAGGAGTTCCCATAAGACTATTAGCTAATTTCTCAAAAGAAATCTTGTAGGCAAGAAGGGGCTGGAAAGAAGTATTTGAAATCATGAAAGGCAAGGACCTACATCCAAGATTACTCTATCCAGCAAAGCTATCACTTAGAATAAATAGAAGGGCAGATAAAGTGCTTCCCAGATAAGGTCAAGTTCATCATCACCAAGCCCATATTATATGAAATGTTAAAAGGACTTATCTAAGAAATTGAAGAATATAAAAACTATGAACAGTAAAATGACAATAAACTCACAATTATCAACAAATGAACCTAAAAAAAAACAAACAAGAAAAACAACGAAAACACAAACTAAGCAAACAACTAGAATAGGAACAGAATCAGAGAAATGGATATCACATGGAGGGTTTTCAGTGGGGAGGAGGGGAGGAATGGTACAGGGAAGAAGCGTAATTGGTAGGTATAAAATAGACAGGGAGAGGTCAAAAATAGTGTAGGAAACAGAGAATTCAAAGAACTTATAAGTACAACCCATGGACATAAGCTAAGGAGGGCGAATGCTGGAGGGTTGGGGGGTGCAGGGCGGAGGGGGTATAAAAGGGGAAAAATTGGGAAAACTGTAATAGCGTAATCAATAAAATATACTTAAAAATAAAAATAAAATAGCCAAATTAAACAAATTAAGAAGAAATATTTCCTCCTAAGTTACAAACATCTCTATTTCCTATAGACCACACATCCTTAAAAATAACAATAAAAAACACCTTGCCTAATTTGTTAGTTTTATCAAGATAATTCCAAAAAACAGGAATATTTTTTCCTAAATCATCTCGTTTTACTATCCACTGTAATAACATGGATAAATTATGAGTTTCAGTCCTCAAAGGTCTTTCAAGGACAGAATCTCAATGATTACAGATGGTTTTGATCAAGGGGTTCACAATTATTTTCTTAAAAGGCCCGATGATAAACATTTTAGGGTTTGCAGGGCAAACAATCTCACAACTACTAAACATTTGCCTTGTATGAAAGCAGCCACAGAAAACATAGGGCAGGGCAAAAGTAGGTTTATAGTTGTGAGTAAGCCAAACAGAGTTGTTTACTCTTGTATTATTTTATTGTCTTTTTCTATTTTATTATTTCATTTCATTTTTTAATTTATTTTTAGAGAGAGGGAAATGTAAGGAGAGAGGGGGAGAAATACCAATGTGTGGTTGTCTCTTACACACTCCCCACTGGGGACCCAGCTCACAACCTAGGCACGTGCCCCTACTGGAAACTGAACCAGCGACCCTTTGGTTTACAGGCTGGCACTCCATCCACTGAACCAAATCAGCCAGGGCCTATTTATTGTCTTTTTCCATATGGACAACTGGAAGCCTTCTTTTGCCTACCACCGTAGGTAAACAAATAGGCACAGCTATGTTCCAACAAAACTTTGCTTACAAAATCAGATGTCTAGCCTGCTCACCACTTGGTTTAGCTCAGTGCTTTCAGCATAATTGTTACTTTACTTTAGGAGCTATTTTGGACATTTGTGGGGGTAATTTTGGTTGTAATAATAACATGTGTTTGTATGTTGGGGGACTGTCACTAGATTTAGTAAGTAAGGTCTGGGAATGCTAGAATTTCTGTGGGAAAAATAGTCATATATACAATTATCCCACATCCTACATGGTTTTCTTAATGTCCTGACAAAAATCCACATAGGTAAAAAAAAAGTTGTATCCTCGATACAACTGTAAAAAAAAAGCTGTAAACTGTAAAAAAACAGTTGCTCCTCGAACATCATAGTTTTGAACTGCATGGATCCACTTACATACGAATGTTTTCCAATACATACATACATACAGTTTTGTAAATATATTTTTTCTTCCTTATAATCTTCTTAGTAACATTTTTTCTGTAGCTTAAGAATACAGTATATAACACATATAACAAAATACATATTGACTGTTATCAGCAAGGCTTCCAGCCATCAGTAGGTTAAATTTTCAGGGAGTAGAGTCACATGAGGATTTCTGACTCTGATGGTGGAGGGCAGAGGGAGGGGGCACTAAGGGGCACAGTTCAAGGGTCAACTGAAATTAAACGAGCCTAGAACCTGTTTCACATATAAACACAAGTTATTATTTTTTCCAGTTTTAATAATATGCTAGTGTACCAAGTATACAACTCCTGAATTAACTGATGAGACTCTACTTAATCTGGAACTTTGACAAATGGTGAACAAGCCTAGATAAAGTCATATTACTAAAGGAAATGCTGCTTGTGGTATCTGAGTCTCCCTAGCTCTTTCAGCCCTGTGACTGTAGCATTTGAGGTGATTTTACATATGCACACATGCAAATGAATACTCCCTTTTCTTCTAGTGTCCTCAGACACAGGCATCCATTTACATACTAAACATACTTTGTTCTTATGTGCCTTCTACTAACCTGCATTTTTTCAAATTATAAAGGTATATAAAATAGTAACACCTGAAATAAACATTTCCAGTGAACAACTATATATGTGTATATATATAAAAGTAGCCCTGACCGGGAAGCTCAGTTGGTTGGAGCGTCATCCTGTACACCAAAAGGTTGCAGGTTCGATCCCTGGTCGGGGCGCATACAGGAGGCAACCAATTGATGTTTCTCTTCCTTTTTCCTTGGGTGAAGATTTAAAAACAAATTATAAAAGTAGGTAAGTAATATTTACAAAATCATTTTAGTACAGGGAACGTGATGTAAATATCTGTAACCAAAAGGGGATGCTGCGTCTGAGGTGTGGAGAGGATTCTGGTTAGATGTTTAACTGCTGGAAGACAGGTGACAGTAAATGGTCTCTTCGGGATGTTCTATACCTAGCTTATGGAAGGGAACATCTGGGATAGCTGCACTTGAACATGTAACTACTGTAATCTCTGCATATTAAAGGACTTTTCCCTCTCAATCATCAAGTCTGAGAAATTCATTTTGGGAATAGATTTAAAACAAACTTTGAATCAAGTCCACATACAAGCAACATCTAAGGAAGCATTCAAATTTTGACAAATATATATATTCTCATAGGGCTATTGTGAGAGTGAAATGAGATAATGGTCATACTAAGTGCTCAGCAACTGGAAATACATAACATAAATAAAATAGGTAACTATATAACATAATAGTAGATAACACTAAATACATAATAGGTAATCCTAATAGTTATATGAAAACTTCACTATCCCACAACAGATGCATTAAACGCTAGCACGCTTACAACTATGACAGACATTTATGTTTATATTCTTCCGATCTCATTTCTCATATGGAACAGAAAGCTGACCGAAACAGGACTTACTGAAGGGGAAGATGAAGCTAATCGTAATCCTCAAACTGTGTTGCTTATAAAACCAATCTACCGTTATGCTACCTATGAAGGGCGGACTACAACTGATCAGAAAGCTGGCACTGCAGACAGTGGAGGGGTCCCATCAGCTCAGGATTGGCTGGACTAGGCAAGGGTCTCAGTTCTCTCACACTGGTGCCATTTGCACTAGAGACCTCTTTTTAGCTTGGCTCTCTGGTCGAGGGCAGATCTGCTAATCTATGTCTCCAAAGTAGTAAAAACGACAGAAATCAAAACATCCTCAAAAAAGACCATTTTAAATTCAGGAGTACTACTAGAGTACTTAGTATTACTCACAGAAAGGCTCTATTCTGAAAATCACTAAGGTAAAAATATGCTTAATCTCAGACCTACAGGCCAAGTTTCTAGAATAGTAACAGGCACAAAATAGGTTGTTGAAAATTTGTTAGACACCCTAAAAGAACATAAAAATATAGTGTTATGGCAGAGAATATTTTTAAAGGATGTGGTAAATTAAAAATCATTTGGAGTGATTTTGTACATAAGACGACACATTAAAGGGAAAATAAATATTCCTTTGTAGATGCTCATGAGAGCTTTAGGTCACCCTAGAAACTTGGGCCATGTGCCCACCAAACAGAAAGAGGTGCCTGGTACCTGTAATCTGCGCCCAGAGAGGCTGCAATCCCATTTAGTTCACTCTGCTTCTTACTGAGTTTTTTACTGACATATACCACTGCTTTGTGAAGTGGCTTTGGAGCTTCTTCCTGCACATGGAAAATAAAAGAAACAGATTGACTATTATCGTTTGAAATGTTTTATCTAGAACTTCCTTTTAGTAAGAGATCTAATACTACCATCTCTGGTTGAGCATCCTTCAGCTGAGGGCTGGCGGAAAGAGCAACAGCATCTCGAGAGCTATTTGCCAAAGCAAGCTTCAAGTTTCTGCCGATGACTTCTGAGAGCGGGGTACTCAGTTTCCTTCTCTTTTGGCTAGGTCCACCTGGAGTTTCCAAGGCTGCCAGTGCATCCTATATGTATGGAGGGAGGGGGAGAATGGAAGAGGGAGAAAGCAAGGTAGAGATGAAGAGGAGAAAAGAAGAGCAAAGGAAGAAAAGGAAAAAGAGAGTTCAAAAGGGGGATAATCCTAAAAATTAATTGGATTATAGCTGTAATTTCCTCTAGCTTTCCTCCAAACAAAAGGAAAATGAAATGTTATCTGTATCTGTATACTACAAAGAAAAAAAATTCATATTATCTTACATTTGCCCGAATCTTTTTTAAGAAAAGATTTTATTTATTTACTTTTAGAGAAAGGGGAAGGGAGGGGGGAAAGGGGGAGATAAACATCAATGTGTGAGAGATACATCGATTGGTTGCCACCTCTCACATGACCCCAACTGGGGACCTGGCCTGCAACCCCAGCACGTGCCCTGACTGTGAATCAAACCTGCATTTTTATTCATAGGCTGGTGCTCAATCTACTGAGCCACACCAGCCAGGGCTGCCTGAATCTTAAGAGTTTAAATTGTAATTTAAATGAAGAACAACAAAAACAAAACAAGCAGACAAAAAACACAGACGGAAACAAGTGAGCTAGGATGGATATACGCAAGACATGAACTAACATGAAGGTTAAGAAGTCAGACTGAGCTGAGAATTATGGAAGACCTTTGAAAGTACAAAATATCAGTATGTTCCTATTCCCAAGCCACCCACAGTTCCCTCACAGACGGCCCTGCTGCTCAGGGGCTTGCTCATTCTTTCCCATCTGCACAGTATCCCATGTGTACACAGGACGTATTTAACCAGTGCTCAACTGATGACTATCTTCGTTGACAATCTTTTGCCAATATAATGATGCAACGACTAACCTTGTACACACACCATTTTGCACATGCAAGAATAAAGGGAAGCATTTAAGCAAAATTTATGTACCAACAGTGACATGCTTCTCAGCAAAGCATTTAAGTGTACGTTTGTTCCCCAATATGCTTGACAGAACAGTAGGTTATCAGATTTTTTTGCCAACCTTATAGATTAGATAAATATATTTGTACATCTTAATTTCCCACCCTCTAAACAGCTGTATGATGTGTAATATTTCTATTTAATGTTTTGTGATAGCTATCTCTTCCTACCCTTTGCACATTTTTCCACTGGGTTATTAGTCTTTTTTATATTCACTTGCATGAAGATATTTGTATGAATTTACATACATATCTCCACTGTGATACTGGTTTTTGTATATATACATAGTTGGTCTCAATGTGTAGTTTGTCAAATTTTTGCCATGGAGAGTTTTTTAAATACTTTTTTTTAACCATATATCAATGAAATCTACATATTTAAATGTAGAGAATTTTATTTGCTGTCAAATTCTATGAATTTTTATTGCTTTTGGGTGTATGTTATAGTCAGAAAGGCCTCCCCCACAGTGATTTAAAAACCAACCAACTCTTGCATGACCTTTTCTAGAATTTTTATGCCTTCATTTCTTGTGTACAAATACTCTGATCTGATATTTATTCTGATGCAAGGTATGAGGTTGCATCCCAACTCTCTTCTCGATCGTCTGACTGGAATGCCTCCTTTATTATACAAGTATAATATATTCTCCTATCTATGGGATATAATCTGGTGCACTGATTTGACAATTTACATGACATTAACAAACTGCTCCAATTACTGCAACTTTGTTTCAATAACTAGTAGGACTAGTTCCTACCTTCAACTACTCTTCCCAGATTTTTTTTACCAGCAAAGTTTTCATTTATTATTTTTTAAAAATTACTTTATTGTTCAATTACAATTGTCTGCTCTATTCATTTTTTTAATGCTGTTTGTTTTTAATAGAATCTATTAAATGAAATAAATCCTTGTGATGTTTACTTGTTTTTTTTTTGTTTTGTTTTTGCAAGAACATGGTAAGGCTTTCTTCTTGCTAAAGCTTAAAAAAAATATTCCCCACGGCATTTAAAAGGATTCTTCACACACAAAAGAAACAAGAAGCTCCACACCACATGTGCCCACCTTCCGTACCTGTGAAGTAGTGCACCGTGAACACTACTTCCCTTCCGGGACTTGCCTCCACTTAATCCAACCCCTCGCACCAACTCAAAGATGTGGCTTCAGCAACTCTCCCCTCTCATGATCAATTCGATCTCTACTGGATCACTCACACTGGCATACATTTATTTATACCATCTTAAAATCAAAACAATCTCTGTGCACCCTATTTTGTCCTGTAGCCACCCACCCCATTTTCTGGTCACCCTTTACAGTAAAGCTCCTCAAATGCACTGTTTACATCCACTGTCTCCAGTTCCTCTTGCATTCTTGTATGAGTCCACGCCGGCTTCCACCTCTGCCATGTCATCAAAACCCTTACTGGTAAGATCCCTGGTGACCTCCAGAATACTAGATCCAGTGATCAGTTTTCTGTTTTCTTGATCTTTCTGCAACATGTGACAGTTAACCACTCCTTCCTCAAATACTTTCTTTCTCAGCCACTAAGAATCTCTAGGGGTATATGACTAGTGCTTATACTATTTTTTTATAGCTTCATGCAAGTCAGAAATTATTTCCAAGTAAAAAGTTTAAAAAAATTATAACACCTTGTTGCCAAGGATGGGGCACACTGGATGCTCAATACACTATGGGTGGAGTATAAACTGGTATGACTACTCTGACAGTCTTGTCAGTCTCAACTGAAGATGGAATAAAACCCAGCATTGCTTGAACTTGTATAGGAACTGACTGGTCAACATAGCCCATAACTTTGAACTCCTTACTCATGTTGGGTTTTTTTGCCCTTAAAAGCCCCGAATGTTAAGTCACTGGGGAATTTGGGCTTTAGGCAATACAGGTTCCCTTTCTCCTTCTTTAGCAATCTGCAAATAGTAACTATACTTTCTCCACTGCAAAAGAATAAAAATAAAAATAGACACGCACAAGAATGTTCACAAGTACATTATTTGGAAGAGCAAAAAAAATGAATACCACCTAAATGCCATTAAACAGTAGACTGGATATGTAAACTTCAGTATATAGAAAAAATGAAATATTTAATATCACACATTAATAAATCAATGAAGTGCAGTCAGAGGTAGCAACAGGAACAAATCTTCCAAATGAAGGTTGAACAACAATACCAAAAGAAGACAGACTCAAAAAAGTAAATACTATGACTTCACTTATTTAAAAGTAAAAAACGAGCACAACAGAGCCACCGAGTTAGAGGTCAGGGGCATTACCTCTGGGGAGGAGCAGGAAGCAGTACAGAGGGGGGGGTGAGGAAGCTGGTATGGCATTAGCAGTGGTCTCTTTCTGACACGTAAGTGGCTTCCCAACTGTTAACAATGATGTTTCATTTAGCAGCACATGTGTTGTACTTTTATGATGTGTCAATTACACATAAAGTTTCAATAAGAGGTTTTTTTCATTGTGAGGACTAATATATGTTCAACTTTGTGATTATTCCACCTGCCCTTCTGTTTTCAGAGTAAGAATTTCTGTATGCCATACTATGTCAATTTGAAGACTCAGTGATCATAAGCTGAAGTTTTAGTTTATTTATGACCAAAATGAGAAAAGAACAGAAAACTGCTAAATAAACTATGACTCCAAATAATGAAACCTCTAAACGTGTTCTCTACCTTCACAGAGACTCTTTCAGAACCACTGGCTTTGCTCTGCAAGGCATCTGAAGAATGGTCTAAATGACTGGAATTTATCAACTATTTTTTTTGCCTATTAAATTACTTCATTTACTATTCAAAGGTTCTATGATCTGAGACCTTAGAGATCATCTATACAGATGTATACATCTATACATATATGCCATGTTTTCACGGGTGGGAATAATGAAGCCCACAGAGGTTGACTTGCTTTAAAGGTAGCCAGAGGCAAAGCAGAGGCTGATTATAGCCCCCAGTTTCCAAACCAGTGGTTTTCCTGTTTCTTAAGACATAAGGAGCAGTGATAATCACAGTACAAAATGTTACTATGGAAGAGATTTGACGAACCTGAAATTCATGTTTTGGATGTCAACTATAATTAAAAATAAGTAAATAAATAAGCGATCTGATCAAAGATTTAGCTAGGAGAAAGTTGTTCCAGGTATTAGTTTATATTTATTTTCTGGAGATGAACAATCTGCAAACTTTGTAATTCTGCTCTAAAACATACCAGTAAAAATTATTAAAATGTTGCTTCTTAATACCCTATGAGCAAAATAGATATATGGTACGATGATGTTGCAAAAGTCCATGGATAAAAAAACATAGACAATGGTTTGGACACTTAAAACCTAAAAGCTGCTAAAGGACAATGAAGAAAATCATGTTCGGGGGAATAAAAATAAACCACTTGAGAAAGTTAAATTAGCCCTTGACTTGCAAATGATTTTTTCCAGAAAGGGAACCACACTGTAATGCCCAGGAGAACAAGCAAAGGTGCAGACTTGCTCATCATTTTAATGGAAATGACTGATAAGCAGGGTGATAATAAAGACAATGTCAGTATATTGGGTGTACTCCTAGAATCAAAATATAAATAGCAGTGTGTTTATTATACAAGGTAGGGCAAAAGAAGGTTTACAGTTGTTTGCATGGAAAATAATAACAAATAATACAAAAATAAACTGTGTGTTTCATGTACTTGCAACTAAACCTACTTTTGCCCCACCGTGCACTCTTTCATAGTTTACGTATTTTATCAGACCATTTCGTCTGATCCTTATGATACATCTGAGTTTTCAGAGTAAGGGATATTATTCTCTTCATACAAAAGAAGAAACTGATGGTCAGATATCACAGGATGAACAATCTGCCTAGAGTCGTACTGTTCATGAGAGATACAGAACTTGAACCCAGATGTCCTGGTTTCACACTGTATTTATCTGTTACTTCAACCACAAGTATCAGCAAGGACTCAATAATATGAATCTACTTGCCAACATCTCTGGAAAATATACTACTACAAACTTTAGAGGTGATGCAGAAAACGGTGCTTCAACTCTATAAATTCCCGGACCGTTTTCTATGAACCTTACCTTTACATCAAAGGAAGGCTTGAAGAGTTTGTCCTTGGACAGAAATTTGGATGGAGTGTCCAGGCGTAACGAGGGCTCCTTCTGGAGCGGCTGTCCTGCTGGGGAGACTGGCACCTGCCGGGTGTGCTGTGACATCACAGCATGGAAAGCCTTACTCTGAAAGCGGTTCATATCTAAAGGTGTGACGGCCGTTTTCCTGTGCGTTCCCAGGCGCGTGGCAGGATGCTCTGGAGCATCTGAATTTAGATTCACCCCATTTGCTATTTCAGTCTCTAAACTTTGCTCTGGAGGTTTAAAAAAGAAGAAAGAAAAACAAATGTGAGCCACTAACGATACCTTTTTCTTCCAATAAAGAGGTACATAAGTGAGATTTTTACCTTATTGTTAATTTTCATACGAATTCTCATGTATACTTTAAACCTCAAAGTTATATATCTACTTTCCAAGAAACAGACTAGATGATGCATTAAAATATGTTGAGTTAGACAAGCACATCAATTGAAACAAATAATTAATGAAATCAGTTTTCCCATTTTAGCTTGTAACACAAAATATTCTCAATAAACTTCACAATGTGCCAAAAATTATATAAATAAATATCATCTTAGTCAATGGTTGAGTAAAAAGAAAATTCCAAATACATGTACCCAGAGTTAACAACTAGTCAAGTTTCTGGAAAGCCCTTAATAAAATTTTAATATGACCGAAGCATTGCTTTGCCTGTTACAAAATTTCCAGTCTGTCTAGGTAAGTAAATAATGGCTCTGAGAGTTGTTCCCAAGCTGCCGAATTGTCCGTGAGGTTTTTCCAGGGACCCTGCCATCCTATAAGGGGCTACTGTGTCCTCCCACCCCACTCCCTACGTTTTCCGATATTTAACAAAAACACTTAGATGGCTACTGCATACCAGTCCCAATGCTAGACAATGGAAATACATAATGCCCAAGACATGCATAGTCCTTGCTTTTCAGAGCTTACAGTGGAGTAGGGAGACGCGAAGGCAAACCAGAATTGTAACACTGGGATAAGAGCTATAAAAGGGATAATACAAGGTGTGATGGCAAGACAAAGGCCATACTTGGTGAGTCAAAGGAAAGTGCCATCCAAGATGAGAACGGAAGGATAAGAAGGGGGAACAGGCAAGTGTGAGGTGAGCTAGAGAAAACATGCAGAAGTTTGAAGTGTGAGGGAGAACACTAATTACATGTGTGTCAGTATGAGTCATAGGAGGGCCAGTGAAAGGGACTCAAATTCACATCTTTAGACTTCAAACACTGAACGCCTAGAATGCTCCTCCATTGTTTTGCATCCTATAGCTTTCAAACAGTGCTCATACTTGAAAGTACATATTAAACACTTGCACTACGAACACCCATTTGTTTTCCCAATCAATAATGAATGCCCAACAGTGGCTCACTGTACCAGTGTGACAAGTAGAAATCAACAACCTTTCCTAAAAACAGGCTTTGGCACACTGGTATCTCAGAAACCATCAAACTGTAAAAATATGTATATATAAAAACAAAATAAAAATATTAACCTTCTTCAGTTGAATTTTCAATCAGAAAATGGCTTTCATTTGCTCTCTTTCCCATTCTAGCAGTCTCCAAAAGCCAAGCTATGGTGACTGCCGGTAGATTCCACTTCTTGGAAGCTTCATATTTAGAACCGCTTGGTTCCTTCAATACAAGATGTGTACTAGCAAGCATGCCTTTCTTTGCATTGGCTTTGCGGACAAAGAATTCTTGAACGCTGAAAGTTGTATTTAAAGAAAAGCAAATGGTCATACACACAATTAGCCAGCAACCTGACAATGAAGTTTCTAATACAACAGTGTTTTGTTAGAGTTCTAGGAAGACACCAATGATTAAAAGTCAGTTCTATCCCTTAGACTTTCAAGAATTTAACTAGAAAAATCTCCTCCCTAACGGGGAGATTTTTGTCCTTTCCTCCTAAAGGAGGCATGAACATCTAGGGGAGCAAAGAAAAGTGTATAAATCACACATGGTGTATTTTAGTCCACTACAACTGTTCAAAGCATTTGCACATATAATCTCATTTGATCCTCTCAGTATTTGTGGAATACTAATTCTTTTATAAAATATTATAAAGATACAACCTGGAAAAGATAAAAAGAAATTAAGTGACTTGCTCAAGATCACAGACCATTAATAAACACAGATTACATGGAGGCAGAAACAGAAGTCCACCACTTGAGGTATAAGCAGAATTCAATCATTTCTTTTGTGACTTCTCAGTTTCATATTCAAATTCTCCACTTTTAAAATTTCTTGAACATTCTACATTTTCCCAGTATTTTCAGGGTTTCATTTTTCATATTCAACCTACTTATCCATGAAGTCTGTCATCTTGGTACTGTTATTGTCCAGATTTTCTACAATTTCACTTTTTCAAAAAGCTTTTTATTGTTTAGTATAATTCAAATACAGAACACGACAAAAAAGGAAACGTACAATTTAATAATTCTAAGGTGAAAACCCTTACATCCCCCACTCACGTCAGAAGACAGAACCATGCCAGCCACCCCAGAACCTCTCCCATGGGCCCTCTCAGTTAACACTCCCTCCCACCCCTTCTTCACAGTAGCCACTATTTGAATATTTATGGTAATCATTTCCTTACCTTTCTTTCTTGTTACCACATAGTGCATCCTTAAACACTATTTAGTTCAGTTTTATGTCTTTTAGCTTAAATGTTCCCTTTTCTTTCCCCAGTGCCTTATGATCATTTATAATGTAAAGTTACCTCAGTCTGATTGTATTACTGTGGTGTAACTTCACATGTTATCCTCCTATCGTATTTGCTATAAATCAGTAGTTGAATCCAGTGGCTTTGTTGGATTGTTTTCACTATTTAGGTAGGACTACTTCAAAGGGTGATATGTTCTTCAGCAGGACAAACAAGATGTCTGTTCTTCTCTATATTACGTGATTTTCTACTGATTTTCAATGCCTAGATTTTTTCATTAATTCATTTATTTATTGGAATACCAGTAGAAAGGGAAATTTTGTCTTATTCATTATTACGGTATTCTGACAGATTCTATAGGAAAGGCAGGACAAATATTTCATCCTTTCCCTTCATTTACCAGCTCTCAAAATAATGGGTTGGTTCCCTTAGCATCTTTCAAACATGACCAATTAGTTTAGTTTGTTTGGTGTCACTAAGAAGTCATGAATGGGCCCTGGCTGGTGTGGATCAGTAGACTGAATGCCGGCCTCCTGTGAACCAAAGGGTCGCTGGTTTGATTCCCAGTCAGGACACATGCCTGGGTTGCGGGCCAGGTCCCCAATAGTGGGCATACTAGAGGCAACCACACATTGATGTTTTTCTCCCTCTCTTTCTCCTTCCCTTCCCCACTCTCTAAAAATAAATAAATAAAATGTAAAAAAAAAAAAGTCATGACTGAAACATCATTTGATGTATTTGGATCCACTGCTGTTATCATCTGGTGATGCTGTACTTAAATTTTCCTGTCCTTGGCCAGTGGACTTTTTTTCTTCTTCTTTTTAATTCTTACCTGAGTATATGTTTATTAATTTTGAAGAGAGAGGAAGGGAAAAGAGAAGAACATTGATCTGCTGCCTCCTATACATGCACTGACCAGGAATCAAGCCCACAACTTTTTGGTGTGTGGGATGATGCTCCAACCCACTGACCCACCTAGCCAGGGCCAGTGGAGTTCCTTTCGACACAACCCTCCCTAGTTGTGTTTGATAACGTATTTGCTCTCTGTTCCAACAAAATGGTCCAGACTCACTGGTACCTTTGCTGCCCCAGATCTGGAATTAATCATTTATTTAAGCTTTAGTTTCCTTTCGTGGGAAATGGTATTTTAAGATTACAATCTCCTGGCTGGTGTGGCTAAGTGGACTGAGGGCCAGACTGTGAACCAAAAGGTCACAGGTTCGATTCCCAGTCAGGGCACATGCCTGGGTTGCCTCCAGGTCCCCAGCATGGGGTATGTGACAGGCAACCACACATTGCTATTTCTCTCCTTTTCTCCTGCCCTTCCCCTCTCTGTAAAAATAAATAAAATCTTAAAAAAGAAATTCACAATCTGGGCACTGGGGTTCCTTGTTACTACTGGGTTGATAATGACTTTTAGACTTATAAATGATTTCAAATTCCTCTTTGAACCAAGAGTTATTAAAAAACAGTTCTAAAATGTTCAGTTGACAAGGTCTTTTCATTTTTTATTTCTACTATTCATTTCAAGTTTTTTGGACTGTGATTACAGAATATGGTCTGTACTTATTCTACTTTAGGAATCTATTGAGGTTTTCTTTGTGGCAAATATCTCTATAGGCAACATTTACAAGTGTTCCACAGGCACTTGAAAAGGTATGCTCACTGTTTGAGGGTAGATCTCTAACTATGCTGTTTAAATCTATCCTTCCTAGTCCTGGCTGTTATGGCTCAATGGACTGAGTGCTGGCCTGCAAACCAAAGGGTCACAGGTTTGGTTCCCAGTCAAGGCACATGTGGGCCAGGTCCCCAGTAGGTGGCACATGAGAGGCAGCCACACATTGATGTTTCTCTCCTCTTTGTCCTTCCTTTCCCCCTCTCTAAAAATAAATAAATTAAAAAAAAGAAATAAATCTATCCTTTCTCGTTTTCTATTTGACCTGTAATGAAGTAAAAGATGGGAATTAAAGTCTCCAACAATGTGTATTTATACTGATTCCTCTTTGTATCTCCTGTCGTTTTTGTTTCATAAATGAGTGCCATGGTCTATTTGATATACACGTATTTCAGTGTGTGTAGCACTCTTGATTTATAGGCTCTCTTTTTCTTGTTTAAAGCACTGATTTGAATCCAAACTTGTCTGACATTAAAATTGCAACCCGTCCTTTCCTTTTGTTTGCCTTTACTTGCCATCATTTTTTCCTGAGTCAGTTTGTTTTAGGTGCATCTCTTATTTAAAATAATTTTAAACGTTGTTTCATAATCTAATATAAAATAGCTATTCTTTTAATTAGTGTAAAAGTTTAGTTCATTTACATTTACTGGTACAACCGTTTTCTACTTCCTTTTAAAACAGCCACCATCTAACATTCACTTAGGGTTAATTTGGATCTTGGAAGCAACTTTTAAATTAATTTTCTTTTTCCCAAAGTATTCATTATTTCCATTTAGCATTTATATTTCTGGCTGAAAGCCAGAGGAACAATGAATGTATACTGAAAAAGAATACATCAACCATACAGTATGTGGAAGGAAATAATGCACACATAAATAATATTCAATAATGCTGCATGGGTCAGCTTTAAAGATTCTCTTTCCTGGCAGGTAAGCATTAATGTCTGCAGTCTTAACATCTGCCAGACATCTATCCCGCAGGACTCTCCCCTGTCCCTTCGAGCCATCACATAACTACACCACACACTGCTCATACATACTATAAAGCCACCAAGCTAAATTCTAATTTGAATGCTCTCCAATTAGTCAAAACAAATAAAATACATCAAGACAGCAGGTACACTAAAAATACTACATACCTTGCTCCAAGGAGCTCTGCTAAGAACGTCAAAGAATCTTTTTCTGCTCCTGCACACTGGCTGAATGAAATAACACAGTCCTCTAAAGGAGTCATTCCTGCCATTACTGGGACTGGCTTGAAGACAGGACTTGACTTTGGATCAATTAAAGTCTGACAGTCTATACAAGTTACCTTTAAAAACAACAGACAAAAGAACATCAACCTGAAATAAGTGACCAGTGGTTACACTGGTTCAGTTACAGTAGCAGTAATTTTAGTTTAGGTAGAAAGCAATTTTACTTTAAACTTGCGTATGCTCATTCTCAATACATTTGAATTATAATATGTAAAGAAATAGACACACCAATTCATTACATTAAATGTTACATTCTAAAATACTGAGGATATTAAAATCAGTGAAACTTATCACTGAATAATGCTTCAAACTTAATTTCTTCCAATGATGTATTAGTTTGTAATTTTTTCCTCTTAATGCTTGGAAAGTAAAAAGAAAAACAAAAACAAAAAGAAAACAAACCAACACCCCAGTGGTGAAATTACCAGCCCGTGATAAGCCAACCAGATAGAATAATGTAAACGTGCATGTCATGCTTTGGTTGTGAGAAAACAGGGGAAACTGAAATCACTCAAGATGACCTGACGTAACTTCCTAAGAAGAAATGTTGCTGGTTTGGCCCCTGGGAAACAAAACATCTCTACTCTACCAGAATTAGAACCAAGAAGCCTGAACATTTTCATATTTTAAAGTTTCCTTTGCTAAATGCAAAATTCAGATGCTGCCCATACCCAAACAGTAATTTAAACCAAACTGAACTGCCTAGGAAATAAACATGAACACTCCTGGCATTCCAATATCTTTAACTGCTACAGTACTTCCTTACCAGCCATGTGTTTGTAACGACTTCCCCCACCGCCGTTTCTACGTCAGACCCCAGCAGAGGAACCACAGTATAGTCGGCAACAGTTCGGCTCTGAAGGGATACGATTCTTCCAGCATTTTCTCTTATGACAGTTGCAATGTTAGATTTATTTTCACTACTAAAACCCAAAACAAGGAAACTCTTTTGGCTAAATAAACCTTCTTCTATAATTGTAGAAGCATCAGGGAGGCAATGACTGACAGATCGGTTTTCTTCTTGCAGAGAAATATGAGTAGAATCATTGAAGGGCTGAATATAAGTAGTGTCATTAAAGGCCCCCACTTCAGACTTTACAGCTTCAACTGGAAGAGAAAAAGAATTGTTTTCTAACTGATAATTTAGCTTAAAGTTTTATTTCCTAGCAAGGATATTAAGGTAACATAGAGCCTGAGAATTGTGCCCACACTTAAAAACTAAGGCTTTAATAAGTACACAATGCATAAAGGATACAAACCCACCCCACCTTCTGGGCCACCAAGAGTGTTATCAGTATTACCATGTATTATGAGGAAGGACAACAGCAATCGTGTTACTGTTTTAAGTGCTCCTACCGTGCTAGAAACTAGTTGAAAATTATGGTGCTCTCATATTTCATAGGTGTGTCTTAGTTCCAAAACTGGTTTAGATAATTCACAATGGAGAAAAATCATTACGCAAAAAACAGAACAGGTCTAAACAGTCAAGCCCTTTACATGGAAATAACTGTAGAAATGTAATAATACTAAGGTTACTGCTCTTTTAAAAATTCCTAAAATGTTTTGTATTGAAATTGGAGCTACTTAGCTTCTATATAGATTCCTTAAGAGGAATGATCAAGGACCTAAGCAAAAGGTCTTAACTTCATTTTAAGATAAAGTTGACTGATAGAAGGGTAGTAAAAGAAAAAAAATAGCTACATAAATAAGTGTCGATAACTAAACTACACAGTCCCTAGTATGCAAAAATATTGTTAATTCAAGGCTAAAAGTTTAAGAGGTGAAAAACAGTGTTTTTTGAAAACTCTAGCAGCGTCCTGTTGGAAGGTAACACTTTATGGTAGGGGATCAGCAAACTACAGCCTAAGGGCGAAAAGGGCCCAGAGCCTGTGGGGAAGAAGGTTTTTACATATTAGGACTGTAAAAACAGAACAAAACAAAATGGAATAGGTGACAGAGACAGAATGTGACTGGTAAAGCCTAAAATATTTATTGTCTGGCCTTTTACAAAAGGTTGGTCAACCCATGCTTTATGGGGTTCCAATAAGCCTGGAAGCTATTCAAGGATTCTTCACTTACTTATTTATACAGGTATTCTGCCCAAGTGCTTTACATGCACATAATTAATGCCCATGATGCTACCAGGTTGATATTATTAGTACATTTATACCCTTTCTTCAGGAGAAATCTCAGGTTTTAAGAGATTATGTAACCTAAGGTCATAGTTATAAAATGGCAGAAATTATATAAACCAACACTGCCCAACTCCAGGGTCCATAACATTGTCATAATGCCATCTCCTTATATCTATTCTCTTCTCCAAAAGATATTAATATTTTCACTTTTAAACTAATTACTGCCATAGATATATAAATAATATATAAATAAGGAGTGTGTGTGTATATATACATAAAATTTATTCCTACTTAATGAAAGTATTGAAATTGCTCTTATTGATAATCTGAAGAACTCTAGTTTTGTCTAGAGCATTAACTGATCAGAAGATTGTTTGACCCTCAGTTTCACAGTACAATGAATAAGAGACAATAGTATATTTATAATTTATAGAGATATATGAGGATGAGTAAGCTTAGATAGAAATAAAGATGACATGCTACTGTAAAACATTCTGCAAAGTAGATTTAAAATAGCAATTCTTAATACAAAATGTAAAAACAAAATATTTTTTGCAATTATAATTGTCTCACAATCACGGCTAGGGGGAAAAATTTGATGTCTATACACTGCAGGTGAGGTGGGAAGAAGAATCCCAGAGGAATTTTAGACTGCTACTATAAAACAAACTAGAAATACCAAGTCCTTATAAACTATAAGCAAAACCCTGAAGTTATTAAGAAACTCAGAACAAATGAGCATGTTCTACAGCAGTTCTTTCCACTTATTTTAGTAGAACCCTTTTTTCAAACCAACTTCATTCAGAAGCACACAGACACTTCTTGATAAACCTATTATTAAAAAACTTTCTCAAATCACAAGTAGTTTAGCTTTCACAAACTGCAAAATGCTTGATTACATTCTTTATAAGGCGCTAGGGAATTCACTGAGATTTATTGTCACCAAATCCTTTCAGAGTCAATAGATCACTCGCTGCCCTAGAAAGGAAGACCTGAGAAACAAATTGTTTTCCCCCACTAAGTGTCCCTGCTGAAGGACAGAGCACAAAACTGCTCCTAGCCAACCTGCGGCTGCTTTCTACCAGAGCACCCTGGGAAGCTGGCGCGATCTGCTGTGACACACTAATATAGCATAAGCAGCTGGTCTGATAAAAGTCAATTTTGCAGTGCATCATGAAAGTAAATAATGCGAATAAAAAATGAATACTGGAAATTCCCTTATAGAATATGATACGGTAGACATGCAAAACACTCACTATGAAACAATGGAAAATACAGCATGAAATATTAAAGACATCTTTGTAATTGCATAGCTGAGATTATAAGAAGGCAAGGGAAATCCTTAAGGGCTAAAAATGAAATGCTATTGAGCATCAAATGGTTACTAAAGCTAATGGTTACCCTGAAGTTACCCTGGCAACCTAGACCCTTAAAATATAAGGATATCATGCAGAGGGACAGGTGTTAAGCCTTTGGTTTCACACAAATTAGCAGTGGGGTAGAGTATACCCTAGGAAAACAAGCCCAGAAACTCTAAAGGGAAATGCCTTCACTAGAATGTAGAACAAAACCAATCAACTAACAGCACCATAAACACATCCTACAAGAGGAAATAAGCAGTACACTTGGTTTGGCTTTGGGTCAAGGGGAAAACAGCTCTCCTGGGAAGCCATCATCACGAACTGGTCCTCAAATTAGTTAAGGATATAAATTTATGGAAGCCTGATAGTCCAAGAATGTCCTGCCAATAAACTCACTCAGAGGTGTCCTAAGTTGGAAGATTCCTAGGCTCCAGGCAGATTTAGACATGAATCTTTTCTGGAGGAACAAATTCTCACCCCAGGCTGCCAAGAATTCCCATAGTCCTAATAAGAATGATAAATATCGCAAAACACATGAGGAAACCAGGCATTGTGAACAATAACCAAGAGAACTTCCCCACTCCTCCATTCAGATGTTGCAATTAGTTAAATGTGTTATAAGAAATAAAGAACAAACAACATGAATACAGAATAAGAGACTATCAAAAGAATTAGAACTTCCAGAAACTGATGAAATTAGAAGGAAAGGTTAAGTGACCTATACACAGAACTAATGGGAGTTAGAGAATATAGAGAATGGGGGATAAGAAAAAAGAAAAAGAAATCACTCATTCTTGGATTCAGGAAAAAATGAATTATAAGAGGACAAATCAGTGATAACATCTGGACACGAAAAATAAAAGATATTAAAAACAGGTAGAGAAAAAAAGATTTTCTACAAAAGAATGATAATTAAACTGGCATCTGACTTCTTATCAAGCAAGCATGGAAACATGACAATAAAATAATATTTCCAAAGAGTTTACACCAGGGGTGTCAAACTCATTTTCACCAGAGGCCACCTCAGTCTCACAGTTACCTTCAAATGGCCGAAAGTGATTTTAGGGCTGTATAAATGTAACTACTCCTTAATGAGAGGCAAGGAGCTTGGCACTACCGCCAGGCAAAAACAAGGTGCTGGGCCAGATAAAACAAGGTGGAAGCTGGATTTGGCCCACGGGCCTTGTGTTTGCCACCTGTGGCTTAGTCAAAGTAACTATCTGTATGTCTAGCAGAACTATCTTTTAAGGAAAACTGGAAAATAAAAAAACATTAACAGAAATTAAAGGAATTTGAAATGTATCCTTTAGAAATTCCTTTCTAAAAGGATACATTTCAAGAGGAAAGGAAATGATTCCAGAAGAGACGTTTCAGAAACAAGATATGGGGGACTTCTGGCCAAGATGGAGGCGTAGGTAGACATACTATGCCTCCTCACACAACCAAAATAAGGCCAGCAACAATTTAAAAACAAGATAACAACCAGCTATGACATAAAATTGAACTGCATGGAAGTCGGACAACCCAGGAGTTAAAATATACACATGCATTCAGACCGGTAGGAGGGGCAGAGTCGGGCAGCCGGGAGGAGAGGGGCCGCAGCACAAAAAACAGTGGCACCGGGTGTGTAAAACATCCCGGGCACAAGACCGCAGCAGGGGGACCATGGGCGCGCAGGTGGCTGGCAGACCCAGTGAGGTGGTGACTGTGAAGCAAGGTACTGTATGCAAGGTGCCTGGCTGTCCAGGCAATCCCACATTTATGCGCAGATAAACCAGGTGAAATTGGGCAGTGAGACCATGCAACCCAGGGTGCCAGCATTGGGAAACAGAACCTCTGGACACTGATCGAAAACACCTGTGGGGGTTGAGGTGTAGGGAGAGACTCCCAGCCTCACAGGAGAGTGCATTGGAGAGACCCAAGGGGTCCTAGAATGTACACAAACATACCCACTGGGAATCAGCACCAGAAAGGCCCAGTTTGCTTGGGGGAAGCAGTGGAAGGGACTGAAATCCAAAGGAGAGAGGAGCACCATTGTTCCCTCTCGGACCCTACCCCCACATACATCACAACCCAGCAACTGGGGTGCCCAGCCCTGGTGAACACCTAAGGCTCTGCCCCTCATATGTAACAGGCATGACCAGACCCCTCCAGAAATGGCCCGAACAGATCAGATCAAAGCTCCATAGCAAGCACAACTAAGCGACCAAGAGATAGCCAACCTATCAGATGCATAGTTCAAAGCACTGGTGATCTGGATGCTCACAGAATTGGTTGAATTTGGTTGCAAATTAGATGAAAAAATGAAGGCTATGATAAGTGAAATGAAGGTAAATGCACAGGGAACCAGTAGTGATGGGAAGAAAACTGGGACTCAAATCAATGGAGTGGACCAGAAGGAAGAAAGAAACAACCAAACAGAAAAGAATAAAGAAACAAGAATTCAAAAAAATGAGGAGAGGTTTAGGAACCTCCAAGACATCTTTAAACATCCCAACATCCGAATTATAGGGGTACCAGAAGGGGAAGAGGAAGAGCAACAAGTGGAAAAGTTATTTGAACAAATAATAAAGGAGAACTTTCCAATCTGGCAAAGGAAATAGACTTCCAGGAGGTCCAGGAAGCTCAGAGAGTCCCATAGAAGTTGGATCCAAGGAGGAACACACCAAGGCACATCACAATTACACTACCCAAGATTAAAGATAAGGAGAGAATCTTAGAAGCAGCAAGAGAAAAGGAGACAGTTACCTACAAAGGAGTTCCCATCAGACTGTCAGCTGATTTCTCAAAAGAGACCTTACAGGCAAGAAGGGCCTAGAAAGAAGTATTCCAAGTCATGAAAGGCAAGGCCTACATCCAAGTTTGTTCTATCCAGCAAAGCTTTCATTTAGAATGGAAGGGCAGATAAAGTGCTTCCCAGATAAGGTCAAGTTAAAGGAGTTCATCATCACCAAACTCTTATTTTATGAAACGATAAAGGGACATATCTAAGAAAAAGAAGATAAAAAACATGTATACTAAAATGACAGCAAACTCACAATTATTAACAACCACACCTAAAACAAAAATGAAAACACACTAAGCAATCAACTAGAACAGGAACAGAACCACAGAATTGGAGATCACAGGAGGGTTAGCAACAGGGGAGTGGGAGGAGGAGAGAGGGGGAAAAGGTACAGAGAATAAGTAGCATAGATGGTAGGGAGAAAACAGACAGGGGGAGGGCAAGAATAGTATGGGAAATGTAGAAGCTAAAGAACTTATGACACATGGACATGAACTAAAGGTGGGGAATGTGGGTGGGAGAGGGTGTGCAGGGTGGAGAGGAGTGAAGGGGGGAAATGGGACAACTATAATAGCATAATCAATAAAATAAAAAAAGAAACAAGACATGGGAAAAAAAGAGCTAAACATGTTGGCAAATCAAAATATATTGACCATATGGAATAATAATGACAATGTCTAATTGTGACATTAAAAAGGACAATAAAAATAACACACAAAATTACATAAGCTGAGTGTCTTAGTAAGTACATATGTAGGGGATGTGGGCAGCAGTGATGTTAAAGTGTTACAAGGTTCTTGTATTATTTAAGGAATATAAAATTCTGAATAACTCTAGATTTTAAGCTAGGATGCACATTAATGTTCCAAAGGTAACCACTGAAAGTATAAATAGTATACATAACTTTCAAATTAGAAGAGGGAAAGATAGAAAGTATAGAGTGGGATCTGAGGCAGGAAGGGGGAAGCCCAATCCATCCAAACAGCAAAAGTGTTAAAAAACAAGGAAGCATAGAAAAATGGGACAAAGTACAAAATAAGAAGGTAGAAAAAGAATCAAAATATATCACAAATAACAACAAGTGTAAATCGATCAAATTTACAGTTAAAAGAAAAGGTCAGTCATACTAATTGCTGATCCACATGAGGCAGGGATAGCTGCATTAGTATCAGACAAAACTGATTTTAAGTTAAAAAATTATTAGAAAAATGAGGATCAGCATGCAATAAAACTTCAAGTTACACAGAAACTAAATTGGAAATTCCGATACATGCTAAAATATGAATGAATCTTGAAGACATTAACTGAAGTAAATTCAGCCAGCCACAAAAGGACAAATATTGTTTTTCTAATAGTTTTTTTAAAGATTTTATTTATTTTTAGAGAGGGGAAGGGAGAGAGAAGGAGAGGGAGAGAAACATCAATGTGTGGTTGCCTCTCACGCTCCCCCCACTGGAGGACTTGGCCCAAAACCCAGGCACATGCAATCCCTCAGTTTGCAGGCCGGCACTCAGTCTACTGAGCCACACCAGCTAGGGCAAAAGGACAACTATTGTGTGATCCCATTTATATGAGCTATCTAGAATAGTCAAATTCATAAAAAAACAGAATGGTGGTTTTAGGGAGTGAGTAGAGGGAGAAATGGGAAGTTACTGTTTAATGGGTATAGAGCTTCAATTTGGGAAGATAATGTTCTGGAATGGATGGTAATGCTGATGGCACAAGAATGTGAATATAATTAACCACTGAAGTGTACACCCAAAATGGTTAAAATACTAAATTTTACGTTATATATACTTTACCATAATTTTAAAAAACTCAAACCCAAAATATTCTATAGTATTTTGGATTTCATCCAATTTGTGTGAAACCTAAGACTTAACACCTGTCCCTCCTTAAAGTTTAAAGGTCGAGGTTACTGCCAAGATAGCTTCAGGGTAACCATTAGCTTTAGGAACCACTTGATGCTCTTGATTCACTGTGTAAAGTATATGCTATCTAACCACTACACTGTACACCTGAAACTAACACAAAATAATACTGAATATTGTACACTGTAATTGAAAAATAAAATTAAAAAAATTCACATTGTTTCAAACTTACACTAAGTGATGCCAGATATAAAACAGATCAAAGTGGAACCCTTGAGTTGAAGAGACAAGAAGGGGTCAGAGGGGTCAGAACCCCTTAGCTTTGTCTGCCTAGAAAAAGTTACAAACATAAAACTTAAAGAAAAAGGTTTAACTTAAAATTTTAAAAAACCTGGCAAAAATCACGTATGTACGAGTACTATGAAAGCAGTTCTTAATGACTATAGATACCAATCAGCGATTTCTTACCTACTATTGGGTTATCGTTTACATATTGAGAGAGCAGGTCTTCATCAGCCTGCTCATGCTTTTCCGCAGAGGCACACTCTTTCTTGGAGAAGCTGCTATTCCTTTTTAAAAGGGATGTTCTACTTTCAGGTTGGTCTGAGACTGGAATTTCCACTGGCTTGTAACTAGCATGGATATATGGCTCTTCAGGAAGCATATAACCTTTGCTAAAACACTCCAGCAGCCATTTTGCTCCCACCACATGAGGCCTATGAAAACAGTATATAGTTATGCATTAGTTTAAATTATAAAGACCATCATCCCACTTGCCATGCAGTTTCCAAAATTATATCAATGTGCAATTTTAAGAAAAATTATCAGGGTAGAAACTGGTTTGAATTAAAAACTGACAAAACCTGTGGGCTGACTTATCCCAAAACTGCTTCAATTCATCATCATAATCTCCCACAATAACATGAGTTACATCTTCATTGAGCTGGTTAAAACGAACTCCACCTCCGTTGTTAACAAGCCTTCTCAGTTTATCTAGTTTTCTGCCACTAAAACCACAAAGATATATCTGAAAAAAAGAAAAGACAATATTTACTTTAGATCAATGCATGTAAGATGTTTTCTCTCACAATACATTTATTAAACATATGTTAAAATCTACTGTGTATAAACAAGATAACTCTTGTGTACGTTTTAAGACAAAAAAAAGAAAAAACAAGAAAATATATATCAAGGGGTGTATTCTGAAACTTTGATTTTTTTGAACAATTCTGAAATTTTTATTTTTATCACTTCTTCATAATCCCATAGCATTTTTATCCCTCACAGTAGATACTCGGTAATTACTCTGATGCTTTAAATAAAAGCCTTAAGTAAATTATCATCTGAATGTTAGTGCATAGTAATTTCTAAAACACAGGCAGCTTCTTAAAGATCCTACTACTTGTGGCCCTGGTGAGGTAGCTCAGTTGGTCAGAGCATGTCCTGATACATCAAGGTTGTGGGTTCAATTCCTGGTCAGGGCACATATGAGAATCAACCAATGAATGCATAAGTGGAAAACAAATTAATGTTTCTCCTCATTCCTCTCTCTCTCTAAAAATAAATCAATAAATTAAAAAATAAAGATCTTATTACTTGTAAATTTTAAAATAATTATAGAAACAAGTGTCTGAATTCCAAAAACTGGGTTTAAATTTTGGTTCAGTTGTCAATGATTAACCACACGACCATGGCAACTTAGGCCCTTTAAACCAGTTCCTTACTTCTAAGTCAAGATCTCTTTTTCACAGAGTTAAATAAACAAGAAAATTTAAGTCAAGAGGTGAGCACTGCTTTGTGGATAACACATGAAAATTTATTTTTAATTATATATGCACTTATCTAAACTAATCAATATAAAAATGTTTTTCATGTGTTTTGTTTTTAAAAAATTTCTTAACAAATCTATTCCTAACTGCATTTATATCCCAAACTAAATAGCCTCCATTACTAGAATATATTTAAACAAAAATTAGAAATATATACTTCCTATAAGAGTAATTAAGTCATATCCAGAATTAGTATATTCTAAAGTAAAAGAATCTACAAGACACTTTCTGGTCTGCCAGTAAGTTGATAAATTTTAAAAGTTAAGGAAGGTGAGGTAATCTGCCCAATTTCCTTCCTTAACAATAGAACAAGGTTGAATCTCTGCTACTCTTTGAGAAATAATGCACAGCTTATTCATGCTACAAGCAGGAATATATCAAGTAAGCATTCAGCTCTAGGAGACCCAGAATATAAGATGTTTCCATCAAGGCACTTATAAGGTAATTATTCGTGCACTAGAACATTAAACAGCCCAAGAGACACTAAACAAAGCAGTGGGTCTAACGATTAGAAATACAGGCCTTGGAGTAGACTGCTGGTTACTCAAGGTCTGCGACTCTGAAAGAGAACTTTTTAATCCTCTACGTCTCAGCCTTTGGATAATATCCATTTTAGAGTTATTTGTGGGAATTAAATGAGCTTATACATGACATATTAATAATATATATGAAATGATTAGCACAGTGTCTAGCGTATTATAAGCACTTAAAAACCCCTTAAGTGGTTCAGAAACTAAATGATCTCAAAACACAGCAGATGGAAAGTTTAATGTAGTTAGAAGTTTCAGGAGAGCTGAAAACTGATAATGGACCTTGAAGGATGACAGATGAAGGCACATCCCAGGCAGCAGGACCATGACTGTTAAAGGATGGACATGGCCTAATAAATGCATCTGCTTAGCTAGCATTGAAGGGTTATGCAGATACGGAGCAAGCCCAACTCTGAAGAGTTTTCAAAGTCAGACTAGGAAGTACCAATGTACACTGTCACTTCCTACAATTATTACATAATAAAGACATACCCGACAACCATCTAATAAGTCCTCAGGTGACTGAAATGCACTGACATCCAGATTTTCTAGATTTTCAAGTGCTGGATCCACTTTGCTATTAAAAATGGAGTTAGACATCGATTCATTTATGCAACTTGCAGTGATGTTGGAAATATGGCTGACATCTGAGAGAGTCCGACCTGCACAGTCAACAAAGATGCAACCAAGTTACGAAGGTAAAATAACTGTGATTACACGCTTTCCTCTAGATTAAGTTTCCTTATACACACAGGGCTATGAAACACTTCCAAAGTTAAGATTCAAGTGTTTTTACTGAAATCATGGTGGCAAAGCATGAAAAGGGAAACTAAAACGAAGGTTCATATTTTATTTAAATAAAAATATATTTAACATATTTAACAGTGGCTTGCTTTTAATAAAAATCTGAAGTTGCTGGCTTTAAGGTCCAAGAAGCCTACATCTGAGAAAAAAGTTTATAAATATTTGCTGAATTGCCAACATGTCACCTACAAATAGGAAGTTTTAAATTTTATACAGATATAGATAATCTATAACAATTGCAGCAAACTAATAAAGGAAATGCACTAATAGTATTTGAACATCAAATTTTTAAAATTAAGTTTTCAGTTTAAGTCTTTATCTGTTAGTATTCTTAATTTCTTTAATCATCTTTTGCATTACATCAAGATATGTAAGAAAGTATGCATTCAATATTAAAAAAACATTAGGAGTTCTGGACTAATTTTTCATTCAGTTTGGTTAATATACAATTATGCCTAGAAGCAGAGCAATAGAAGACAGAATTCCCTACTATATTCGCTGATCCTATTAACAAACCAATTCTTACACAGGGAACAGATAGTTTACTTTAATCCCAATGAGACTTACTACCACCTGTGTTAACCTGGCCGGTAGGAGTTGAAGTATCAGGCATAGTCTTTGTTTCCGGTCTGGGCTCTATCTTGTACATGGATTCATCCTGACAAAAACCTTTCTCAACACTGTCAAAAAACCATTGCGTGGTGACACAATGTACATTCCATCGCTTGGCACACTCATATTTCTGACCTGTCATGTTAAGAAAGAGAAAAAGAGAAATGCAAACCATTAAACTTTGCCTTGGCAGAAATATTCAAATTTATGATAGATTATTAAAAAAACAGATGAGACAAAATTAAAGTTAACAGTAATTATTCTTAGTTTTAAATAAATACATGTGCTATGTGAGGAGGTATATCTCTCTTTTTTTAAATTTTAAAAAAAGATTTTATTTATTTATTTTTAGAGAGGGAAGGGAGGGAGAAAGAAAGAAACATCAATGTGCAATTGCTGGGCGCTGTGGCCTGCAACCCAGGCATGTGCCCTGACTGGGAATCGAACTTGCGATGCTTTGGTTCACAGCCCTCACTCAATCCACTGAGCTACGCCAGCCAGGACAGGAGGTATATCTCTTATAAAATTATATAGTTACCCCACAGTTGCAACTGAAGGGGTAACTGAAATAATATTATACTTGGTTTGAGTATAGCCTCCATCACTTAATTTATTTAAACAAGTTTATCCATAACATAGGAATAACTCACAGAATTATGTCATCTTATTAAGACTCCAGGGGTGCCAGAAGAAGAGGAAGAGCAAGAAATTGAAAATTTATTTGAAAAAATAATGAAGGAAAACTCCCCCATTCTGGTGAAGGAAAGAGACTTTCAGGTAGTCCAGGAAGCTCAGAAAGTCCCAAAGAAACCAGACCCCAGAACACACCAAGGCACATCATAATTAAATTACCCAACATTAAAGATAAGGGGAGAACTTTAAAAGCTGCAAGAAAGGAGACAGTCACCTACAAAGGAGTTCCCATAAGACTATCAGCTGATTTCTCAAAAGAAACCTTAAAGGCAAGAAGGGGCTGGAAAGAAGTATTGGAAGTCATGAAAGGCAAGGACCTACATCCCAGATTACTCTATCCAGCAAAGCTATCATTTAGAATAGAAGGGCAGATAAAGTGCTTCCCAAATAAGGTCAAGTTCAAGGAGTTCATCATCAACAAACTTATTATATGAAATGTTAAAGGGTCTTATCTAAGCAAAAGAAGATCAAAACTATGATCAGTAAAATGACAACAAACTCACAACCATCAACAACTGAATCTAAAACAAAAGCAAACTAAGCAAACAACTAGAACAGCTACAGATCCACAGGAATGGAGATCATACGGAGGGTTATCGGTGGGGAGGAGGAAGGGGACGAACAAGGGAAAAGGAAGAGGGAGGAAGAAGCATAATTGGTAGGTACAAAATAGATAGGGGGGCATTAAGAACAGTATAGGAAATGGAGAAGCCAAAGAACTTACATGTACGACCCATGGACATGAACTAAGGGGGTGGAATGCTGGTGGAAGTGGAATGAGTGCAGGGCAGAGGGGGATAAACAGGAGAGAAAAAATGGAACTGTAATAGCATACCCAATAAAATATACTTAAAAAAACGGACTACATAAAACAACTGAAAATGTCAGATGTTTGCAATATAAAAAATACCAGCTTTGAGTAGGCTACTCCTATGTCATCAGATTCTAACTGAAGTACAGGAGAGATATGTAGATGGGTAAGTTATATAAAAAAACTTTTATTAGGTTATATGATCTATAAAACCTTTTAAAAGGTTATATGATAACCTTTTATTGTCTTAAAAATATTTTAACACAATGTATTTTGAAACAATATCATAGAGAAAATTGAGGTCAACATGTAATAAACAATAACATGAAATGGTTATTTTTTTCAATCTTGACAGGAAATGAACTACCTTCAGAATTAGAAAATATCAATAGTAGTTATCAACTCTTCTTAGAATCCTAGCATCATAATTGGCCATATCCAAAATTCTGACTTAAGTATAATCACCAATTAATTTTAACAACATTTTTCTAATGTAGGTAGCTGGGTAAATCACTGTATAGATATGAGGTAACATTAACAAAATTACTTCTCATCAACTTACATATATTTCAAGGGTATTGATAAAAAATATTCTCCAGAATAAAGATTATAGACCACCACCCTGGCTGGTGTGGCTCAGTGGACTGAGTGCCAGCCTGCAAATGGAAAGGTGACAGTTTCGATTCCCAGCAAGGGTACATACATGCCTGGGTTGTGGGCCAGGTATCTGGTCGGGGGCATGTAAGGGGCACCTAGCCTACGTTTCTCTCTCTCACATCCCTGTTTCTCTCCCTTTATCTCTCCCTTCCTTCTCTCTCTAAAAATAAATAAATAAAATAAAATAAAAAGATTATTGAACACCAAAATTAATAGGAATTTTAAGGAATTCTTCTCATTGGTAATATATTTTTCTTCATGGCCTCATTTTCTGTGAAGTGTATCTTCAAGTAAAAACTTACAGTTCATTCAGGAAAGCTGATTCATTCCATTAAAAACAGAGCTAAGCCTTTAATATGCCATTAGAAAGAAATGTAATTTATCTACAACTATTAGTTTTGTTGTTATTCATTCAAATTTCCTACCTCATAAGTATTTGGTAATTGTGTAGGAGACTCGAAAAAAATCAGTCCTGACTAGTGTGGCTCAATGGATTGAGCACCAGCCTGTAAACCAAAGGGTCTCTGGTTCAATTTCTAGTCAGAGCACATGCCTGGGTTGCAAGCCAGGTCCCCAGTAGGGGGGCACACGAGAGGCAACCACACAGTGATGTTTCTCTCTTTCTCCCTCCCTTCCCCTCTGTCTAAAAATAAGTAAATAAAATCTTTAAAAAAAAAGAATAAAAAAATCAGATAATAAATTTAGATAAAACACCACTGGAAATTTTTGTTTTATATTTAAATGATATATTAAATGATCTGGATAATAAACACTAGGATAGTCAAGTAATTTTCTACAGATTGTGACCCAAACTATCCTCGTAAGATTAAAAAAAAAAAATCACGCTACGTTTATGACATGTAAGAAGCAAAAGCTATTCTGGAAAAAAATCTTAAAATGTTAAAAAGTAGAGAAAATTTTGCATTTGTCCATTTACGAAATACAGTTTTACCTTTTGGCTCTTGCACGATGAGGTGTGTACATTCATTCATTTTCAATTGTCCCATGTATTGACCTCCATGCTTAACTGTGAGCTGCTGAACTCTCTTTCTTTCTGGACCATCTAAGCCAGTCACACAGATTATGCAACCAAGGAAAACAGGACATTTGAAGTCTTCCATGTTTACATCAGTATATCTAGTTATTTTACTGGGGAAAACAAATGGTAAAAAAGAAAAAATGAACATATTAAATATATCAGTAGTTTAAAATTTACCAGAAGAATAAGGACAAACAATATCACTAACGCTTTCCCCATTTTTTTAAGATTTTAATTACTTTTAAGAAAAAAGAACTCACAGGCACACTGAGAATTACACTAATTGCTCATCTAGATCGGCGCCATGTCTCTAATAAAAAGTAACATTTCAGACAGTCTCTCGAACCTGTTTTAGAGGAAAACATTTCATTAACTCTAAGTCCACATGGCCAAAGTGGTGTATTTTCCAAAATTTTAATTTTGGTTGCCTAGTAGAAAAATGGAATTTGTATCCTTTTATTATACTATATAAATAATAAGCAATGATTGGGGGGCAGAAACCAACAAAGATATCACAGCCAATCTGCTGCCGTGCTAGGCAGGTGTGCTGATGAAACAGGCTGGGAACGAGGGTGCCCACGTGGAGACATGATCAGGATGTGCTGGATGGTGCTGAAAGAAGACTGTAAAAATTCCTAGTTAATTCAAACAGTGGCACCTGGACGCAGGGTTGTCATTCTAATTTCAGGGAAAACTCAGCTCTGTCCCTTGAAACAGGATCTAAGTTCCACAAGGGCAGAGATGCTACCCTGTTTTGCTCACTATGTATACCTACTGCCCAGCTTAGGCCAAGTACATCAAATGGGTTTAATTAATACTTTTTGACTGATCACCCCCCCAGCTAATGCTTTACATGTTTACTTTCAACCGTACACATAACCACTGTGGGAGGAAACACAACAGCCAAAATGGTTAATTGACTCTCCATCTTAACATATGAGTACAGTATTGAAGGATAAAGCAACAGAAGAGTTACAGCCACCACACTGACTCTCCCAACTATTTTACAAATATTTACTGCTGAAAACAATTTTACCATCAAAGCATTTTCTACCTTGTAGCTAACGTTAAACCCACAGCCCATTCCACCTGTCATCTACCCTGATAATAACAGCTTCTGGATGCTGCTTGTTTTCATTGGAGAAAAGAATAATGACCCCATTTTTGTCCCTGAATCCAAAGAGGACACCACAAAGCCTACCCTATTAAAACCCACAATAAGCCAGGATGACAGAATTGATCACTTTTTCAAATCTAGAATATATCTAAATGTTTTTCTTACTTCTCTTGTGACTTCTCCCAAAGTGTTTTTATCCAAGAAGGAAGCAAAATAGGTTTCCTTAGATTTGCGGCAACTAAATATTTTTTGCTACCAACTTCTCCGGCAATGAGGTGTGTAACTGACATGTTAAGGTCTCTGTATACGTGTCCACCCATCATTTGTACATATTTATGAACTTCTTCCTGTAGTCCCAAAAGAAAACATGTTATTAAAACTGAAGCAAACAACCTCTCTTCTATTTTCTATACAATATCCCATAAATATCTTGTTGTTGTTAAGCTTGAACACACAAATGTTTCTCACTGTCATAAAGTAAATAACCAAACTACTTTTTGTAAGTAAAGTGAATATAAATTATAAATAAATTCTAAAATAATTACCTTTACACATTATTTTCCTATTTATCTCTTTTAATTCCATGAAGTTATTAAACTATGTTGCTTCTCTAATATATTTCAATTTACCAGACATATTTTAAAATATGCAAATTATATAAACATATATAGTATACCCATCTCTCAGAATCTTTTTTAAAGATTAACTATAGTGAAAAAATGTGATTCAAAAGCAAACTCACTGACTATATAAAAGTGAGTTTCCTTTAAAAATTATAAAAAAAGACTTCAACTAGCCAGTTTTCAATAAAAGATTCCTCTGTATCCAATTTATTAAAAAATAAAAGATACACACTGTTGTATATTGACTTCGTTATAAGTTATGAATACCAAGTGTAAGGTCTTTCAAAGTACAGTGTACAAGGGAAGAATTAAGTATGGAAATAGATACATTAATTGTATTCCTCAACACCTCACCACTTACCCTTTTGTCTTTTTCCAGGCTTGTACAAGATACAGTTACATCACACATAACCATGTTATAAACTGGATGTTCAGCTCTTGGGACACACTGCTGGTGGTGCATACAAAATATGACTACTTGAGGACCAACAATTCTGCAGCCAAGCTATAAAAAAAGGAAAAACTAAGTAAAGAAAAGAACTTCAGTTTTTATTTACCAATTCTTTATAGACGTTGATGACCACCACAACAAAATAACCAAATTGTTATAAGAAAAAAATAAAAACCATTATATAATTTCTCAGACATACTACTAATTTAATACATGCACCCACATAAAAGCAAATCCAACAATGCAGCCTATTAAAGGAAATAAGATTTAAGACCCACATTCACTCAAAATTGCCATTGAAATTTTAATCTCTGAAGCAAACACAGTCTTAATGATGGGAGCTATGAGTAACAACAGTCTTATGCTGCAGGTGGCAAACACAAGGCCCAAAGGCCAAATCTGGCCCTCCACCTTGTTTTATCCAACTCGGCACCTTGTTTCTACCGGGTGGCAGTGCCAAGCTCCTTGCCTCTAGTTAAGGAGAAGTTACATTTATACAGTCCTAAAATTACATTGGGCTCTTTGAAGGCAACCACAAGGCTGATGTGGCCCCCGGTGAAAATGAGTTTGACACCCATCTTATGCTATAATAATTAGGAAATACCCATATATACTTTTCAAATAAAGCATCTAGCCAGTGAAGCAGTTTAAAAGTATAAGCCTAAATAACCTCCCTCTGAAACACTTCTATGTCACCAAAAAAACCCATATAATCCTCAGCAGTTTTTACATTTGTGTTTTAAATACTCTTTCTCCAACTCAAAGTCTTCCCATGGAAGATCCACAAAGACTTCTCTTAAGATACTGCAGGTTACTAAAAAAATTACCTTTCATTTTCATTGATAATTGACACCAGCACATTCCAGCCAAGCTAAAAAGTCTACAGTTGTGAAAGTCACCATGGCATGATTAACTGAAAAATCTGTGTTGTAAATGATTACTATCTTCTTGGTCAGCCAGAAAAAAAAAAAAGAGTTTTTGATGCTACTGATTCTGACAAGCAGTGTTATTTCCAAAAGGAGGATAAGACCAACAGTGCTTTTGGCAAAAGTGGGCACAGACCTTCCATAAATTGTACAGACACTGCATCTACCCACTCTTCTATGTTTTCTTCTCCTTCAAATAAGAATCACTTCTTTGTAATCTGGATGGAATTACAGCCCGTTTACTTTTATTTCAATGCTTCTCTCTTGTCCAGACACCAAAAAAGTAATGAGTCAGTAGACTCTAGAATCAACAGAAAGAAATAAGATGGCTCACTGGTACATTAGCAATAGTCATCACCAAAATGCTTCCTTTTAGCATATAATTTTTCAGAGACTGTATGAGGTATAGGTACTAAAATTCTTCCTGCATGAGCATGTAGGAAAGACAACAAATAAGCAAGCATTACTTTGAGGTCTTTTCCTACTCTTTATTATTTCTCCCTGAAATATTTTGCAACTGCAGTGAGTTTAAGTACCATAGAATTCCACTAAAACACTTCATCACTATAGGGTTCACTCATAACCAGTGAAGTTAAATCCCCGGAAATATAAAAATTACATATAACAAAAGTTTATTATAACATAATTAGCCTTTAAAAATATTCTGGTCTCCCCAAACCAAAGGATGCCTCTGTATTCACAACTTGCATAACACTTCATGATCAGTAAAGAATTTATGTCCACTGATGTCAAAAAACCAAAAACAAAAAAACACACATAAAGGAATACACTAGAAGTCAGCAAACCTTTTTGAGGTGATCAAAGACAACACCACTAAAAGGGTCACAGATATAAAGTGATCTATCATTCTCCTTTATCTTCAATGCCTCTTCTTCTGTAATAATCTGAAGATATTCTTCTGATTGGAATTCTTTTATTGACTGAAAGAAAAAATAAAATAAGATTGTACCTGATGGTCAAGATGGAGGCCTAGGTAAACATGGCTCGCCTCCTCACAGAACCACAGAAAAAATTACAACTAAACTACAAAACAACTATCACCCAGAATCACCAGAAAACCGAGCTATATGGAAGTCCAACAACCAATGAATTAAAGAAGTCATATTCATTCAGACAGGTAAGAGGAGTAGAGATGTGGAACAGGCAGTCCCACTCCACATGGGGTAGGTAAAAATTGGGAAGGATATTTTGGGATTGAGGGATCCCAGCCCCACACCAGACCACCTAGCTCCAGTGCCAGGAAGTTAAGTCCCTAAAACTCCTGGCTGTAAAACCCAGTGGAGGTTGGGGCAGTGGAAGAAACTGCAGGATTCTCAGGCATCTTCTCTTAAAGGGTCCCCAATGGACTTAGGGCTTACATAGACTCACTCCCTCTGGGCTCCAGCACTGAGGCTGCAGCTCAAAGGGCACCAGCAGCATATGGGGAGAAACTGAAGTGTCTGACATCAGGGTTTTATCCCCAGGGACTTGTCCTCCTGGACAAAACAGAGGCCAGGCAACAGTCACTATCCCTTTTCTGAGCCCTTCTCCATACAGAGTCAAAGGCAGAGTCTCCATCTGAGAGTATCTGAGACTCCATCAACCTAATTCACTGGGTTGCCATGTCCAGGCAATAACATAAGGCTCCACCTTATCCAATTTCACAGACTCGCTTTTCTACAATAGGCCATGCTCGTAAAATAGGGAGTCAAAGCAGCTCTATCTAATACATAGAAACAAACACAGGAAGGCTGCTGTAATGAAGAAATAAAGGAATATGGCACAATTGAAAGAATAGAATAACACTTCAGAAAAAGAACCTAACAAAACGGAGATAAGCAATCTATCAGATGCAGACTTCGAAACACTGGTTATCAGGAGGCTCAAGGAACTCATTGGGTACTTCAACAGCATAAAAAGACCCAGGTAGAAATAAAGTTTACACTAAGTGAAATAAAGAGAAAATTACAGGGAACCAACAATGAAGTGGATGAAGCCAAGAATCAAATCAATGATTTGGAACATACGGAAGAAAAAAACATTCAATCAGAACAAGAAGAAGAATAAAAGAATCCCCAAAATCAATGATAGGATAAGGACCTCTGGGACAACTTCAAACATACCAACATCTGAATCACAGGGGTGCAAGAAAAAGAGAGAGAGCTAGATATCGATAATTTATTTGAAAAAACAATGAAAGGAAACTTCCCTAATTTGGTGAAGGAAACAGACATGCAAGTCCAGGAAGTGCAGAGAATCTCAGACAAGATGGATGCAAAGAGGACCACACCAAGATACATCATAATTAAGATGTCAAAGGTTAAAGATAAAGAGAGAATCTTAAAGGCAGCAAGACAAAAGCCGTTAGTTATCTACAAAGGAGTTCCCCTAAGACTGTCTGCTAATTTCTGAAAAGAAACTTTGCAGGGTAGAAGGGATTGACAAGAAGTATTCAATGTGATGAAAGGCAAGGACCTACAACCTTGATTACTCTATCCAGCAAAGCTATCATTTAGAATGGAAGGGAAGATAAAGTGCTTCCCAGACAAGGTAAAGCTAATCAACACTAAGCCATTATTACATGAAATGATAAAATAACTTATTTAAGAAAAAGAAATCAGATGTTCCGGCCACGATGGAGGCATAGGTAGACACACTTCGCTTTGTCACACAACCGAAAGAAGGATAGCAACCAATCTAAAAATAATAAACCACCAAAAGTGCCAGAAAATCAAACTGCATGGAACTCTGACAAACAAAGAGTTAAAGAAACATTCACCCAAACCGGCAGGAGGGGCAGAGATGGGAGAAAGGCAGCTAAGGGGAGAGGGCTGCAGCAAGGTGGCAGACCACGCAGGTGGCGAGGTGGGGCTGGCTGAGAGGGTTAGTGGCATGGTGGTGGACTGCACAGACAAGGCAGGGCTTGCTGAATGGCAAACTAAAGACTCAAAGCTAGCTGTAAACTACTGCAGAGGTTTTATTGCCATGGTGGGAGAAACATCCAGGCTCACAAGAGAGAGTTTGTTGGAAAGTGGGGCTAGAGCAGAGCAAGCAGCACTGTTCCCTCTCTGACCCCTCCCCCACAGAGAGCACCACAATGCAGCAGAGGGTTGCCCCACCCTGGTGAATACATAAGGCTCCACCCTCTTACAATGTAACAGGTGCACCAAGACAAAGAAATATGGCCCAAATGGAAGAAGAGATCAAAACGCCAGAAAAAGAACTAAGCGACAAGGAGATAGCCAACCTATCTGATGCAGAGTTCAAAACACTAGTAATTAGGATGCTCACAGAACTGATTGAGCTTGGCTGCAAAACGAAGGGACAAATCAAAGCTACCCGAAGTGAAATAAAGCAAAATATACAGAAAACCAACAGTGAAGGGAAGGAAACCAGGATTCCTATCAATGATTTGGAACAAAAGGAAGAAATAAACATCCAACCAGAATGAAATAAAGAAACAAGAATTAAAAAAATATGAGGAGAGGCTTAGGAACCTCTTGGACAACTTTAAACATTCCAATATCTGAATCATAGGGGTGCCAGAAGAAGAAGAACAAGAGCAAGAAGTTGAAAACTTATTTGAAAAAAATAATGAGGGAAAACTTCCCCATTCTGGTGAAGGAAATAGACTTCCAGGAAGTCCAGAGAGTCCCAAAGAAATTGGACCCAAGGAAGCACACACCAAGGCATATCATAATTACATTACCCAACATTAAAGTTAAGGAGAGAACCTTAAAAACAGCAAGAGGAAAGGAGTTACCTACAAAGGAGTTCCCATAAGACTGTCAACTGATTTCTTTCAGGCAAGAAGGGGCTGGAAAGAAGTATTTGAAGTCATGAAAGGCAAGGACCTACATCCAAGATTGCTCTATCCAGCAAAGCTATCATTTAGAATGGAAGGGCAGATAAAGTGCTTCCCAGATAAGGTCAAGTTCAAGGAGTTCATCATCACCAAGCCCTTATTATATGAAACGTTAAAGGGACTTATCTAAGAAAAAGAAGATCAAAACTGTCAACATTAAAATGACAACAAACTCACAACTATCAACAACTGAACCTAAAAAACAAAAACAAAAAGTAAGCAAACAACTAGAATAGGAACAGAACCACAGTAATGGAGATCACATGGAGGGTTATCAGTGAGAAGGGGAGGGGGGAAGGTTGGGAGGAAGGTACAGAGAAGAAGAAACATAATTGATAGGCATAAAATAGACAATGAGAGGTTAAGAATGGTATAGGCAACAGAGAAGTCAAAGAACTTAAATGTACAACCCATGGACATGAACTAAGGTGGGGGGAATGCTGGAGGGATGGGGGTGCAGGGCGGAGGGGCAATAAAAAGGAGAAAAAATGGGACAACTGTTAATAGCATAATAAATAAAATATATTTAAAAAACATCAAAACTGTGAACATTAAAATGGCAACAATTTCACAACTACCAACAAGTGAATCTATAAAACAAATTAAGCAAACCAGCAGAACAGAAACAGAATCACAGAAATAGAGATCACATGGAGGCTTACCAATTGTAAGGGGAAAGGAGAAGAATGGGGGAAAAGGTGCAGGGACTGAGAGGTACAAATTGTCAGGTATAGAAGAGGCAGGGGGATGTTAAGAACAGAATAGGAATTGGAGTAGCCAAAGAACTTATATGTATTACCCATGGACATGAACTAAGGCGGGTGCTAGAGGGAATGGGTAGTACTGGGTAGAGGAGAGCAAAGGGGGAAAATTTGGGACAACTAAATAGCATAAGCCATAAAAGATATTAAAAAAAATAAAAAGACTACACCTGAAATTAGTCACCTGTATTTAAATCCTATGAACTCTGTCTTCAAAATCCAGCCTTTTCCTTGTTGGAAGCTACCACCATCTCTCACCTAGACCTCTGTAAAAGTCTCTACAGTGCTTCCTTCTCCCTCCCTTACCCTAAGTCTATTCTCCATAGAATGCTAGTAATATTTTTAACAATATAAATCAGGTTGTGTAACTCTCTGCTCAAAAACTCCAATACGTCCAGGCTGGTGTGGCTCAGTGGACTGAGCGCCAACCTGAGGGCCTGGGGATTGCTGGTTTGATTCCCAGTCAGGGCACATGCCTGGATTGCCAGCCAGGTCCCCAGTTGGGGGTATGTGGGAGGCAAATGATCTATGTATCTCTCACACATCGATGTTTCTTTCCCTCTCTTTCTCCCTCCCTTCCCCTCTGTCTGAAAATAAGTAAATAAAATCTTAAAAAGAAAAACAAAACCCAACTCCAATGGCTTCTCAGCACACTCAGAATAAAATGCACATTTCTTATTATGGCCTACAAGTCCAGAGAGTCTGGCCCTTGCCTGTCTCCCTGTCCTTATTGTCTACCCTCCACCCAGCTTGCTTTTTCTCTAGCCACTTCTGCTCTCTTGCTATCACTGGAACAAGCAAAGCATGACCTAATTTAGAGGCGCTGCTCTTGTTTCTACTCCCTGGAATACTCTTCTCCCAGGTCTTCACTGGATTCAATCCCTCACTTCAGTCAGACCTGATGAAATGTCACCTCCTCTGAGATACCTTTCCTGATCATGATTTTTAAAATAAAAATAACCTTTTCCTCCAATCTATGTTATGTAGAAAAACACTGAAAACATTTCAAGATCTTGTTTGCCATCATATCCTGGCACCCAGATAAGTACTCAAATATTTTCTGAACAAAATTTGAAGTCCTTATGTTAGAGTGATCGTTTTAGAACAATTAAGTCAGATCATGTCACTGTTCTGATTAAAAGCCTCCAGTGGCTCTCCATCTCACTGAGAGAACCAGTCATAAAGTCCTTGCAAAGCTGTACAAGACCTCTTTACTCGTACTCTGTGAAGCATCCCTTAATATTCTTCCTCTATCTCTTGCTTACTACACTAGAGACACACTAATGCTGGAGAGACACTCTAAGCACTTTCCCAGGGGCCTGATTGTTCCCTCTGCCTGAAACCCTCATCACAATCATGTCCACAAGGCTAACTATCTCATCTCCTTCAAGTATACTGAAATATCTTTTCCATAACACATACCCTGATCACACTCTATTTAAAATTACAAACTTTGGGTCTCTTTCACCCCCAACAAACGTCTTCCAGACCCCTTAACATGTTTTGCTCTTTTCTCTTCCCATTGCACTTAGTGCACTGTAACATGCTGTGTAGTTTACTGATTTGTCATGTCTGATAACTGTTTATTTCCTCCTGCTAGAATAGAATGTAAACTCTGAGAAGAGAGCACTGATGCATCCTAAGTACTAGAACAGTGTTTATCAGATATGGACACCAATAATTATTAGCTGATCGAGTGAACTGTAAGGAAAACCCAGCTACAACAGGGCTCCTTAACCTTTAATGTATACAGGATCACACTGAGGATCTTGTTAAAATGCAGCTTCTAATTGGCTAAGTCTGAGCTGAGCCCCAAGTTCCACATTTATAACAAAGTCTCAAGCCATGCTGATGTTGCTGGGGTCTGTGAGCAGCAAGGCCTCACGATACCCACAGATTCTCCCATATTATACTGGACATAATGAAACATACTTTAACATTAACCAATTAACTAAAAATTATTTGTAACTAGTATAAGACTGACTCAATATTTTTCAACACACAAAGGTCTACTCTCATTAGTAGACAAAGGAAAGCAACTTAATTTTCAAGAACAGCAGGTCTGCTACTTTCAATAGAAGATTTAATAGATTTAAGGCCCCCCAAAATATACAATGATATACTTAATTTAAAATATGTAACAATGATATATCTGTGTTAATGGAGACTACAGTAAAACTATGCATTATGAAAATAACTATTACTAAGATACAAAAGCCCAATAAATTAAAATCCCTAAGAAAAAAATAAATTCTGAACATCAAACAAGATATTTTTCAACTGTTCTTACCTCAAGAGCTTTAAGAAAACATTCGGAATTGCCTGAAGATTTTAAAAACTTCACAAAAAGTGGTTGTTTGTCATTTCCGGACATTTTTGAACTGCCAAAATAAAGGAGCCATTAACAAAAACAAAAACACATTATCCACGACGTTATATGCTTACAGCATATATTTATTTCTGCCTATTATTTCTGCCCAGACAAGAATGCATAAGAGAGGATATTTTGACCTTGTCCATGAATTCATCCACTTCGTTTGTAAGAAACGCTGGAATATGGGAAAAGTCAAGAAAAAATATGACAACACCAGTCCTTGCACGTCAGAGAACGTAATCAATGTCCCTAAGCCGACTACGTGGAGGGCCTTTGCCATGGCGCTCTAAGGCCCCCAAAGACAATGAAAAAGCAATTGCATTCAGCTAAGGGCCCACGTAATAAATCTGTCCCTGCGGGCAACCCAGAGCCTAGAGATCTGTTCATCCCTCAGTACACGGACTTTAAATACAAACGTGCAAGCCAGATAGCAAAGTTATGCCCCGTAAAGGCCGGACGCTCTTGCTCCCCAGCTCCCGGGGAAAGGCCCAGCTCCCGGCCCGGTCGGAGCAGCAGCCTCACCTCCCCGGAGTCCAAGTCCTACCCGCCGGTTACGAGGGCAGGAAACCAGGGCCGCGAAGGCCAAAGGAGGCGTCACGACCCCCATCTGGAGTGGGGAAGGAGCGGGGTCTTCCCTCCGTGCCTCACTCACCTCGGTGGAGCCAGAGCCCCTGGGGGCGGCGAGTGGGGGCGCGCGCGGCCCGCAGGAGAGCGGCTGGGGTCGGGCGCCAGCCCGGCACACACCAGCCGCACCCCGCGGCGCGCCCACCCCGAGAGCAACGCAGGACCCGGAAATTGCCGAAGCCCCGAACTGACTTTCGCGCCTACTGTGCGGACGCGCTCACCTCTTCCGGCGGAAGTGACCTCGGTGTGCAGTCGCGGAAGGAGGCTGGAGTCCTCAAAAATTGGGGTGGGCAGCCAGAAGTGTATTACTGAGCCGGTTTTGGGGTTAGGGAAGGACTTGGGACGGACGCCTTGGGATTTAGGCTTCTGAAGAGCGGCCCGGGGCTCCGCAGGGAGGTGACCTGGGATCCACGGCTCGAGGGGTGAGGCCGGAGGCCAGGAGTACCTTAGAGGAGGTCCGAAAACACCGAAACATAAAGCGTAACCCCAGGGGAAAAGAGCGCTTCCTCAATAAATATTTCATACCTGCCACGGGCCAGGCAGGGCACGAGAAACCATATATTACATAAAACAAATCTCTCAGGCAAATAGTGGTATTTTCATTTTAACAGATGTAAAATCTGAGGCTTAGTTAAGTTAAATGATGTGTCCAAGACCATACAGTTAAATGGTAGAATTAAGTTGTTAGTCAAGTCTTTTTGACTTGTGGACAAAAAAGGAGTTCTGTGGAAAGGAACCTCACAGGGTGATCTGATCATAAATTCCTACCTGGGCAGGTCATGGTGGGTAGTCATGCCCCAGGCACATAGCTTTCATAAAAGGCTTATTTTTACCTGAAGGAAGCCCTGTCCATTGTTTCTGCTGTGTGAGTTAACACACCTTTGAAATGCCCCCTTTCATACCCCTCCTTCCAATAGTGACTACCCTTTAGGACCCCTCCTTATAAATTGTGAATCTTAACTATCCTGCAATCTGATTGGGGCCTTGCTTTCTTCCACCTTCACGTAACCTTCCTTACATCCCCTGTTTAATCTCAAATGCATAAAAGTAATTGAAAACCGTTAGTCTCTAGCCCAGGAAACATCTCAGTCTAGTGCGGTCTTGCTTCCAGGTGTATCCTATTTGGCTCAAAAAAAAATATTCTCTACAGGTTTGGACATTCTTACGTCGACAGACTCCACGGACAAGGTTTTTTCCCCTCCAATATAGCAAGAATATAACCACTGCCTACCAGAGCCAGGAGGGCTGAAGGGGAGAAATTGACAGGATGACATGAATTATGTACCTAGTACAAGGAGGTCTTTGCCAAGATCATCAAAAGCCCTCCTCTACTTCTTGCCTGCAATGAGCATGTCATCATCTTTCTCTGCAACTCCCTGAGAGTAGGGGAGGTCTGGGGCAGAAAGTGAAGTTCAAATGGGAAAGGTCATGGGAGAGGAGCTAAAACAGGACTGCAGAATCTTGGATTGTTCAGAAGAAATGACAAACTGCTTAGTGTTTCTTATTTTACTCTCGAAATTGAAAAGCTCATGATTTTGGATTGAGTGATGTGAGAGTTTAATGCCATATACCTTGATTGTTTTTATTTTTCTTTTTAGCACCTAAAGATGATAATAAGCAGCTTAGGTCTAAGTCTGTGAATATACTCAACCAAGGTGAGTCAGAATCAGTAACACTAGGTCTCAAGGTAAAAAAAAAAAAAACCATTGTTGTTGGGGACAGAATGAGAAAAGGCTTGAGAGAGAGAGGGAGAGAGAGAGAATGCCACTGTTAATTGTTAAGGAGCACGTCGGTCATGAAGCTGCCCTAATAATGACTATCCATAGGGTACTTTACAGTTGACAGGACTCCTGCTTGCACGATTCCTGCTTGCTTTCTCAGCAATCCTCTAGTTGCTAGAGGATTGTAATTTCAACTCCTTAACAGTTACAGAGTAGTTACATTTATACAATCCTAAAATTATTTTGGCCCTTCAAAGGTAACTATGAGGCTGATGTGGCCCCAGGGAAAATGAGTTTGACATCCCTTCTCTAGTATGTGGGCGTCATTGTCCCATGTGTAGATGGGGAAAGTGAGGCTGAAGAACTTGTGACCCCACCAGAGCCACAGGGGTGGCCGCACCTGGGCTTGAGGAGAGGTGGCTGACTGGAAACCCTGTGCCCTTCCTGACCAACCGCACTGTTCCTTTTCACATGCTGCCCACCCATGTCTGCCTGAAGGTCAGCACCAGGACAGGAGCCCATTCTTGACATTTCTGGGGCTGAGTGGAGGCCTCCTGAAGAGAGTTGTACATGCCACTAATGAAGATGAGGAGGAAAAATGAAATCAGCCCCTTAGCTTTTGGCCTGCTTGATTTGAATAGCAGGGGAGTCAACCTCGTCTTTAGACCAGGGGAGCAGGTGACAAGTTCTCCCATCTGTGTCTCCACATAGGCAGAGAGGGTCTGCATCTGTCCCTGAAGTACTAATCTTGGGATTTAGCTAGAGCAGTGCTTCTCCATCTAGTGTAGTACCTGGACCAGATGCCTCAGCTTCACCTAGGAATTTGCTGGAAATGAAAATTTGGGGGCCTGACCTGAGGCCTGCAGAGTTAGGAACTCTGGGGGTGGGTTCCAGCATTCTGTGCTTTCACAAGTTCTCCAAGTGATTGTGATACACATTAAAGTTTGCTTGAACAGCAATCTGTTAGGAAAGGGTAAAAGTGGTTATGTGGGTTGTGGTTAGTGAAGATTCTGGTGAAAACAGGTAATAGGTGTGATACGACCCCCTCCGCATCCCCGCCCCAGCTCCCTCAGAAGGAGTTCAGGGATTAACTTTCCCCTCACCTCCCTGGCATTCGAAAGCACCTCTCTATTTCTTCGGCACTTCTTCAGCTAGGACCAGACACTCCAGGCCCTGCCTGGAGTAGGATTAAAGGGAACGTTATATTTATCTATTTGTAGAATGAAAAAACACAGGAAACAAATATGACAAAACAGTTACTTTTAAAATGCAGGTGGTGGGAATATGAGTATTTCTTGTATATTTTGCTATGTAGATAAAATTTCTCAAAATCAAAAAATTAAAAGCCAGATTTTTAAGGGTTTCATATTTGTTTTCCAGGGCTATAATGAATGAGTATGTATAAATAAAGGGATTATAATTTAAAATGAGATTAGTTTATTGCTGCAAAAAGAGTTTGCAGTGGCAAAACATTTGTTTAAACTGTTGTCTTCAGAAACCTGAAAGGTAAAACATAGACCTACTGAGTCTGCTGAGGTGAAGGGAAGAGGGGGAAAATAGAATGTTAGCAGCACTCGTGTTGGTCCTGGCTGCATTTAATTAGTTATTATAAGAAAGACACAACAAGCTCAGGGAAGAACTGGCTTGTTTGCAAGCAACAATAAAAAGGATTAGAAATCTAAAAATGCGAGGTTTTGCAAGGTTGGAAAAGCTGACTGCATCTAGGTCCTAAAAACAAGATATACATCAGAGAACTTTTGAGCAACAAATGGCCACTACAACCCATCCGTGTGGGAAAGATCTAGTTAAGAATATGGAGCTCCCACCCAACCTGGGTAAGCACCGTCAAATGAGAGTGGGAGGCATGAAGCCAAGGAGAGCAATTGGGCTTGAAAATTAGTTCGAGAGAGACCTGCAGTGTGGCCACTGTTTCAGGGAAACAGCTCTACCATGGCTTCCTCCTGGCGCCTCTGCCCATATCCACAGGGACAGAGGGTGGAATTGTAGCATATCTGAGTCTTGGCCAAACACCTGGTGATCCTGCTAGAACAGGAGAGAGTGGGAGGCCTCTACAGAGCTGCTAGTCAGGAAGCCACCTCCCACTCATCTTCCTGCCCCTCCTAGGAGGCTGTCCTCAGATCGCTTCTCCTGGCCTCCCTGGTTCTGATGAGGTATGGGCTTCCTACACCGCTCCCCTGAGAATAGACCTGCAGAATACTAAGCCACTTAGCTGCTGTCTCTGTTTGGCTCCTTGGCAAACGGGGTTTCCCACAACTCACATTGCAGCCCTGTGCATTTCAGTGTCATTGTCTTTGGTGTGTGGGTCAAGGAATCAGGGAGCTGGCACTTTTGGCGTTGGCTTCTTCCTCTTCACTCTCTATGGAAGTAATAAACAATGTATAATAAATCTAAAATTGTCTCATGTGTCTTCACTAGCCTAATCAGGCCCCGCCCTTAACCTTGTATGTGTGAGGTTGACAACTACTCCATAAAACTGAACAGAAGCAAATAGATCTGAAGGTTATTCAAGTTTTGCGATAATTGCTTTGTGAAGAAAACCAGAAATGAGGAGTACTTAAATGGATTCAATCTTCAAGCTCTTATAGTAGGAAGAAGGAAAAAGGCAGGCCCCAAGGAGCACAAACTTCTCAATACCATGCAGATGTGACTGGAGAGGATAACGGGAAAAGAAGACCCTCCCAGCATGAGGTGCCAGACACCTGGGAGAGAAATGAGCAAAGAAGCTACTTTCAGAGAGTGAATCTGGGTCTAATCAGGCAGAGGAACCACCCAATCCCTGTCCAGCAGGACCTCAAAATTGATGCTGTCCAGCAACAGCGATGGCTTTTCACTCCTCCCCTTTCTAAAAGGGAGTTTTATTGTAGTTACATTGCCCCTGTCACACCATCGTATATCAGGCATGCAATTGCAGGGGGTTGGGGTGGCAGCAAATTGTGTGTTTCATCCATATGCCACTGGACCATAAGGTGAATTCTGGTGGAGACCATGTAGCAGAACATTAGTATCCTACACATTCCTCAACCTTAACAGCCTTTTAAAAAAAATTCTCACCCAAGGATATGTTTAGAGAGGAAAGGAGAGAGAGAAAGAGAGAGAGAGAGAAACATTGATTGGTTGCCTCCCTGTTAGCACTCCGCCAGGGCTTAACCCTAACCACTCAAACACATTGGGAAACTTCCAACTGCCAGCATCTGTGCTTCTTTGCGTGAATGCATTCTCTGACACCAAGAGTCTGCTTTGCCACCTGCACAGTAGACCAAAGAGTTAGGACCTAAGGAAAACTATTGTTTGCATGCCCCTTGAATGGGATATTCTCCTGTGGCTTTCAAGGTGTCCCTAGTGGAATTAAGTTCCAGTCTCTACAGTGGTAACTGACTTGTTAGTACAACTTTTGTTTACCTTCTTTCCTTTGCCTTGCTTCCCCATTCTCTTACTTGTGTTTACTTACTAAATAAAACACTGGAAAAGTCTTTTCTAAG